AGCTAGGACTACAGGCATGCGCCGCCATGCCCACGCTAATTTTTTTTTTTTTTTTTTTTTGAGACGCAGTCTTGCTCTGTCACCCGGGCTAGAGTGCAGTGCCGCGATCTCGGCTCACTGCAAGCTTCGCCTCCTGGGTTCACGCCATTTTCCTGCCTCAGCCTCTGGAGTAGCTGGGACTACAGGCGCCCGCCACCATGCCTGGCTAATTTTTTTGTAGTTTTAGTAGAGACAAGGTTTCACCGTGTTAGCCATGATGGTCTCGATCTCTTGACCTCGTGATCCTCCCGCCTCAGCCTCCCAAAGTGCTGGGATTCCAGGCGTGAGCCACCACGCCCGGCCCCATGCCCAGCTAATTTTTAAGAATTTTTTTGTAGAGACAGGGTCTCCGTATGTTGCCCAGGCTGGTCTTGACCTCCGGAGCTCAAATGATCCTCCTGCCTTGATCTTCCAAAGCTCCCAGGCATGAACCACCGGCCCAGCTTAATTACTTTCTAAATCTGTATACCGTCAGATCTTCGAGCCTCCCATCTAGAACACCAGGCTGAAAAGTGCTGTGGAGAAGAATAAGGCCGGAAAGGGGAGTGGGACGGTTGGTCAGCAAGCGGGGGTGTTGGGGGCTTGGCAGGTTGTAAAAGGGGTGTCAGAAGAGGTCTTGTGGAGAGGGCAGCTTGAGGTGGAGCCGGAGCTCCAGGGAAGAGCTGGATGAGCTGAGGGCTCCAGGGCCCCGAGGTGTGAGCGGGCCGGGGCTGGCAGAATGGCCTTGTCTGAGGCCTCGGAGGCTGCAGGGAGACTGCGACCTGCCCCAGTGTGGCTGGGACACCAGCAGGGTTTTGAGGGCAGTGGGTCCAGAAACAGACCTGGGGTCCCAGGAGATGTGGGGAGACTGGCAAATGGGCACAGTCACAGGGCAGATGGTGCCAGAGGCTCTAACCAGGACTGTGACTATAGAAATGAAGTTGAACTGGGAGCCAGGAGAAGAGAATGACAGTCACTGAGACCACATCTCAGAAAGATTCGACGTCTCTTTCTGGGTGACTCCTTAAGAATTTAGTGGCTTAGCACAGCACTTACTACCTCACGGTGTGGGTCACGACTGGGAGTGGCTCAGCTGGGGGGCTCTGACTCACCATCACTCATGAGTCCTCGCTCGGGCTGTGGCACGGTGGCTCACGCCTGTAAGCCCAGCCCTTTGGGAGGCAAAGGTGGGAGGATTGCTTGTGCCCAGAAGTTTGAGATCAGCCTAGGTAACATAGTGACACCCCGTGTCTACAAAAAATAAACAAAAATGAGCTAGGCATTGTGCACACCATGGTCCCAGCTACTTGGGAGGCTGAGGCAGGAGGATTGTTTGAGCTCAGGAGGTCCAAGGCTGCGGTGATCGTGCCACTGCACTCCAACCTCGGTGACAGAGCAAGACCCTGTCTCAAAAAATAAAAAAGCTGTGGGTGGGCTGTGGTCATCTGAGGACTTGCCTGGGCACGGAGGGGCTGCCTCCCTGGCTCACAGGCACGGCATGCTGGTGCTGGGTTTAGCAGGAGGCCTCGGGTCCTCCCCACGTGGACCTCTCCATGGGGCTGCTTGGGTGTCCTCACAGCATGGTGGCAGCTTGCCCCAGAGCCTTAGAAGCCACACACCATTTTCACGAGGTCTCACTGGTCACCTGGTCAGCCCTGTTCGGTGTGGGTGCAGTCTGCCCAGAGACGTGTCAGCTGGGAGGTGAGATGCGTTGGGGGCCCTCGTGGAGGCTGGCCAGCTCGCTCGTCTTCTGCCTACAGAGAGGAAACTCAGAGGGCTTCTTGGACACAAAGTGGTTGTGCCTTGAGGGTGCCCTGGGAGGACGTTGGAGCAGAAGGCTTCTGGACCAGGTACCTGTCTCCTGCCTGGGGTCATGGAGTTCCCAGTGCCTCAGCCTGGAAGGCCTCGCAGGGACAAGCCCACTCCTGAGTCTCCCTCCAGACCAAGGCTGCCTGGCCTTCTGGACCCCACCTTACTACGTCAGCCCTAGGGAGCGCCTGGAAGGGTAGGGACTGGTCACTGCTGAGGGTGCCGCCAGTGATGGGTCCTGGGCTGGTCAGCACGGTCAGCGGGCTTCCCACACCCTCTTGCCATGCTGCTGTGGCCCTTGTCTGCCAGCGGCTGGTGCGGGGGGTTCCCGTGGTTTTCATGGCCATGGTGTGTGTCTTGGAGGTCAGGCATGTGGCTCCAGGCCGGGCCCGTCCTCAGCCCTGCTGCATGACTTGGGCTTGAGGTTGGGTGAGCTAAAGGCCGACCAAGCCTGAGGCCAGCATCTGGAGACCGCCAGGTCCTGAGGCACGGTGTGCCTTGTGGCCCCCGGACCCCCCACAGGCCGTGTGGAAAATTCACCTTTAAAGGCTTTGCATATTAAGATGCACTGAAGCTTTCAATGTGGTGAGGCTACGTGCAGGGCCCAGGTAATTGGGGAAGGCATCCTGGGCTCACCTGTACTGCAGGTATTCTTTCTTTTGATTTAAAACCACCACATGGGCTTTGCTCCACCGCTCATCTGCTCTGCACCAATTTCCCTGGCAGCCTCGTGGGTGTGACCTTCCAGAACATTCTCTGTGTATTCACAATTTGTGCTGTGCACATCTCAGTGCGTGCAGTGACCCCTCAGAAAATGATCTTGCAATGTGTTAACTTGTTTTCTTTAACCTGCACATTTCTGTGACTCAATCCACGTCGGTGTGTCTAGATCAGCTTTGTTCCAGCAGCTGCGTGATGGTCCATAAAATCAGGCTGTCCCACTTGCTGAAGTAGTCGCCGCTTTATTCTTGTTTTCTGGTCGTCATCACCTCTCAGTGGTCCCTGTTCTACATGGGGGGTTAGGTGGGGCTGTGGCTCCTGCCCACTGTTCCTGGCAGTCAGGAGCAGCTGTGCTGGGCACCTAGCTCTGGGCCACCTCCCTCGGGAGGAGCATCCTGGACTCATGGTTTGGGCCCAGCTACTCTTGCTGGCCGTGGCTGGGCTAACTGTAACTGGAGCCGTGGTTCTCAGGAAGGACACAGGCCATGCAGGGCCTGAAGGTCTCAGAATTCCCGTTGAGGGCCCTGGGAAGAGCCCACCTGGCCTCAGGTGGGAATTCTGAGAAGGAATAGGGATTCTGGGGCCCCCAGTGGGGATTCTGAGAATTCCCGGAAGTCCCTGCAACACGTGAGGTTGAGGACCATGTAGTCTGAGCATCCCTGAAATCTACAGGCTCCTGTGGTCACCTGGGCCCTCCTCTCAGGGACTGTGTGTCGGGAGAAACGGGGCTGGATCTGGGTGTGAGGTCAAGAATCCAGGGGAGAGGCCATACTCTCAGTGTTCCTCGGCAGGGCTCTGAGCGCAGGTCTCTGAGGCTGCCCAGCTGTTCATCCCCTCCTCGTAGGAGAAGCGCAGATCTTGTGCCTGAGTGTGCTAGGGTGCTGATGGGTGCCGCCTACAGCCTACCGCCCTCACGCGGGAGTCAGACTGAACGAACTAGTCCAGATCCACAGAGACTTCTAAACCGGGCTTGATGCTGACATGGAAAGTACACAGGGCTCAGATTTGGGGGTGGGGTGACTTAGTCTGGGGTCAGGGAATGTGTAAGAATTTCTCGGGGTGGCTGTGACAAATGACCTCTAACCGTGGCTTAAGACGCAGAAATGTATTCTCTCACCGTCATGGAGGCACATGTCGGAAACCGAGGTGTCAGCAGAGCCACACTCCCCGAAGGCACTGGGGGAGGGCCCTTCCTTACGTCTCCCCACTCCTGGGGCCCCAGGCACTCCTTGTCATCCCTGGGCTTGTGGCCACATCATTCCAGTCTCTGCCTGTGTCTTCCCTTGGTCTTCCCTTCGTACGGGTCTGCGTCGAAACCTCCCTCTTCTTCCTTCTGTTAAGAACCAGTCACTGGATTTAGGCCCTTCAATCCAGTATGACCTCATCTTAACTTCATTACATCTGCAAAGACCCTAGTTCCAAATAAGGTCACATGCACAAGTAGGGGGTGGATGTGGGGTAGGACCCGAACTTGTCTTCATCGGGAACACAACTCAGGCCACCACAGAAGAAAGTGGTGTTAGAGCTGGGGGCTGGCTGACGGGCTGTGAGCAGTGAGGAGCCGTCCAGGGAAGAGTGTTGAGGCTGGCGGTGTGGGGAGGTCAGGAGGCCACTTTGGAAGGCCCGAGGCCAGGTAGCTGAGGCAGAAGGTGTGGGGGACGCCCGTTGGCCTGTCTGCACCAGCTCCCCTGAGGTGGAGCCTTTCTCAGGACTGGGCTTCTTGGCCATCAGATGTTCCCACCAGGCTGTGTTCAGCCTCAGAGTCTATAACTGTGTTTCCAGGCTGGGCACTGTGGCTCATACCTGTAATCCTAGCACTTTGGGAGGCTGAGGTGGGCAGATCACTTGAGGCCAGGTGTTGGAGACCATCGTGGCCATCATGGTGAAACCCTGTCTCTACTAAGAATACAAAAATTAGCCAGGCATGGTGGCACGTGCCTGTAATCCCAGCTACTCGGGAGGCTGAGGCAGAGAATCGCTTGAACCCAGGGGATGGAGGTTGCAGTGAGCCAAGATTGTGCCATTGCACTCCAGCCTGGGTGACAGAGCAAGACTCCGTCTCAGAAGCAAAAAACCAATCTATAATTGTGTTTCGTTTTTTAAACAGGAAACTACTTTGCTTCGCACTTTTTCATGGGAGGAGAGAAATTTGACACCCCCCACCCTGAAGGTTACCTCTTTGGAGAGAACATGGACCTGAATTTCCTGGGCAGCCGCCCAGTCCAGGTGGGTCTGGACAGGGCTCTCACTGGGCTGCGGGGGTGGGAGGCCCCGTCCCCAGTGGTCTGCATCCCAGCCATGAGGGCAGACGGGCACCAAATCACGCCTAAATGGGGCAGAGCTCCTGACAGGGTTCCAGTTGAGCTTGGGTGTGGACACATGCCCTGGAATGGGGTGTCCTGGTGCTGCCCCTTAGAGGCCAGATGGCCAGGGGCAGGTCACTGCGAAACAGAGCAGCCATACTGAATGGGTGCATCTGGGTTGCAACGGCTGCAGAACGTTGTGGATTTGATTCTAACCTTCTTGGATGACTTTCTTTAAAAGGAAAAATAGTATTTACAGACCCCGGGCGTTGTGGCTCATGCCTGTAATCCCAGCACTTGGGGAGGCTGAGGCGGGCAGATCACCTGAGGCCAGGAGTTTGAGACGAGCCTGGTCAAAATGGTGAAATCCTGTCTCTACTAAAAAAAAAAAAAAAAAATTAGCCGGGCGTGGTGGTTTGTGCCTGTAATCACTCGGGAGGCTGAGGCAGGAGAATCACTTGAATCTGAGAGTTGGAGGTTTTAGTAAGCCGAGATTGCGCCACTGCACTCCAGCGTGGGCAACAAAGGGAGGCTGTCTCAAAAAAAAAAAAAAAATTGACTTTCCCTAGAACAGTGGGCAAGAGACATGGTCCAAAGGAGAGATACAGACAGCTGGCTAATATCTTCCCCTCGTTGCCAGAGGAGGGTACATTCGAACACTGTCATAGTACGCGAGTGCTGTGAGCTGTCCGTTTGTTCAGCACACGTTTGGCACCTGCTGTGTGCCTAGCACTCTTCCAGGGCCTAGGGTGAAGGCAGACCCCGCCTCTGTTACCTAGTGGGAGTATAGACAATTAACACAGGACAAATGGGTAGAAGAGAGAAAGGGCAGAAAGGGAGACGCCACTGGAGAGGCCGTGGCTGAACCAAGCCGTGATAGGTGGGAAGGAGGCCCCTCCAGGAGGAGCAGAAAGGCAGGGGGCCCTGGGAACAGAGGAGGAGGTGAGAGGGTGCAGGCCTTGGGGGACAGGAGGCCGGAGGAGCCAGTAAACGTTGGGGGATCTGGGGGCTCAGCCTGGGGCGGGGGTGCTCGTAGGAAGCTTTGAGGATGGAAAGGGTGGGGCCCAAGGAAGGGGCTGAGGTTGCTCCGGGCAGTGATGGATGTGGGAAGCCTGGGAGAGCAGGCTGGGGATGGGCGGCCCCAGCGTGCAGGAATCGGGCGTTGAGGCTGCCTGGCCGGATTTGCTCAGGGTGGTTTGGTCCTGGCTGTTGCATGTGCGGGCTGTGTGGCCTGCAGCTTCTACCTGTAAATGAGGACAGCGTACCCACGCAGCCTCTAACACGGGGACGAGAACCCAGGGATACTCGTTGGGGCTGTGGCCGCTGCACCCTGGCCCGTTTTGTGTCCTTGGCCGCTCCTGAGGGAGTCACCTGCGGCCCTGTGGTTTTCCTCCTAGTTTCCCTACGTCACTCCTGCCCCTCACGAGCCCGTGAAGACGCTGCGGAGCCTGGTGAACATCCGCAAAGACTCCCTCCGGCTGGTGAGGTAACCTTCGCCCTGCCCCTGGGGACCCTGTGGCTCTGTGGGGCGCAGCTCGGGGCAGAGGTTCTGGCTTGCTTGAGGAAAAGGGCAGGTGGGAGGGGCCCCAGTTTCTGCACCCTCCCGTGTGGAATCAGAGGCTGCCCTGGCCTGAGTGAGGGAAAGGGCATGTGGAAAGAGAGCCATTTAGCCAGGGCTTCTCCGCTGTGCCTCACAGGGACCCTGGGCAGTGTCTGGAGGCAGCCAGGTGGGGTGCCCTGGCATCTCAGGTGGGTGCCAGGGGTGCTGACTTCCCGCCATGCACAGGACGGCCCCCCCACTGCCAGGAATGACCCAGCACCAGATTTCAGTAGGTTCAGAAACTGCTTAAACCAACTAGACTTGAGGCATCTGGGGCTGTCTCTGAACCAAAAGCATGTACCCCGTCTTCTGTGGGCAGGAAGAAGGAGAGGCAAGCCCTGGACCATTGGGCTTTTATGTCCAAATAGGAAGCGGCCCCCATGTGTGCTGGAGAAGTGGGCTGTGTCCACAAAGCCGCCTCCACGGCCCTCAGCCTGGCAGGGCAGGAGGCAGCCTCTGCGGATGTGGCCTCTGATCCGCTGCCTCTCTCCACCGCCTGGGGTTAGGTACAAAGACGACGCTGACAGCCCCACCGAGGACGGCGACAAGCCCCGGGTGCTTTACAGCCTGGAGTTCACTTTCGACGCTGATGCCCGTGTGGCCATCACCATCTACTGCCAGGCGTCGGAGGAGTTCCTGAACGGCAGGGCAGTGTGAGTCCCGCAGGTGGCTGGCAGCAGCTGGGCTGGGGGTCCCCGGACTCCTTGGGGAGGCTTCTCTCTGCCTTAGTAACCAGAGGGAGAAAACGAATCCCTACTCTCTTACCATACTCCCAGGACTTTACCGCAATGTGAGGGGCTTCTCCCACCCCAAGGACTCGCCTCTTCTCTGGGGGAACCAGCTGGGGTCCTGTGACTCATTTCAGTTCCGATGCTGCCTGGAGTTTGTGCAGCACATGGAGGGTCCAGTCCCACAAGACTGCCCCATTTCAGATGCCAGTCATAAACCCCCACTGCCACCTGAACTTCTCACCAACCAGCCGTAAATCAGGCTCCCACAGCCCACTCCTCAGGCTTGGTCAGTTGCTGATGTGGCTCAGAGAAGCCAGGGAAACACTTGGCTGATGTTTGTTGGTTGATTGTAAAGGATCCAGATGAAGAGGTTCACAGGGCGAGGTGTGGGGAAAGGGGTGTTGCGTGCCATCTTCGTATTCATCAACCCGGAAGCTTTCCCGAAAACCGCATATTTCAGGGCCTTTTCTGGAGGCTTCATCACGTAGGCAGGATTGATGATTAACTATGTCTTCAGCCCCTGTCCCCTCCCTGGAGGATGGGGCTTGGCTGAAATTCAGTTCCAGGTTTTTTTGTGTGTTTTTTGTTTTTTTTTTTTGAGACAGAGCCTCACTCTGTTGGTCAGGCTGGAGTGCAGTGGCGCGATCTCGGCTCACTGCAACCTCCGCCTACCAGGTTTAACCGATTCTCCTGCCTCAGCCTCCTGAGCAGCTGGGACTACAGGCATGCACCAGCACGCTTGGCTAATTTTTGTATTTTTAGTAGAGAATGAGGGGTTTGCCATGTTCGCCAGGATGGTCTCGATGTCTTGACCTCATGATCCCGTCCATCTCGGCCTCCCAAAGTGGTTTTGTTTGTTTTTGAGACGGAGTTTCACTCTTGTTGCCCAGGCTGGAGTGAAATGGCGCGATCTCGGCTCACTACAACCTCCGCCTCCCAGGTTCAATTGCTTCTCCTGCCTCAGCCTCCCGAGTAGCTGGGATTACAGGCGTGTGCCACCATGCCCTGCTAGTTTTGTATTTTTAGTAGAGACAGGGTTTCTCCATGGTGGCCAGGCTGGTCTCGAACTCCCGACCTTAGTTGATCCACCTGCCTTGGCCTCCCAAAGTGCTGGGATTACAGCCGTGAGCCACCAGCCCGGCCCGCCTGGCCCAGGTTTTTGTTTGTTTTTCCTCAGGAGCTCTTCGACGACATTTCCAAGTTTCTAATCATGGCTTGGTCTTTCTGGCGGCCAGCCCCATACAGGAGCCGAGAGTCACCTCACTGACACATAGACACTCCTGCCACCCAGGACATTCCGCGTCACTGACACATAGACGATCCTGCCACCCAGGACATTCCGCGGGTTTGGAGTTCTGTGTCGGGAGCAAAGATCACGGACCAAATAATAGAAAAAAGATGCTCGTAGCACGCCTGTCGCTCAGGAAATGACAAGGGTTTTAGAGGACTCCGTGTCAGGAACGGGGGCCGGGGCCAAATATTTATTTTTTATTGTGTCACAATTACATATTTGCACTTTCAGAGGTTTTATTTGAAATAAGGGTCCTTCTGGCCCTGAAAGTTTGAAACGTGCGACTTCAGCAGGAGCTGGCAGGACCGCCTCCAGCCTACAAAGGCACATCTGCCCCAAGTGGCTTTAGGGACAAGCAGGAGTGTACCCCCCACCTTCCTGCATTGGAGCACAGTGCTCAGTGGTCAGCTTTACATCTGGTGATAGGGTGTGGTTGAGAGCCTAGCCTTTGAATGCTGTCCCCACTGAGTGGCTTGGGGCACGTGACTGCTTGTGCCTCTGTGTCCTCAGCTGGAAATGCGGGTGGGTGGTGTGAGGAGGGGAGCGTGTGTCCTGTGCACAGCCCCTCATGTGACAAGTGCTCCTGAAAGGAGCCTGAGTGCTCGAGCTGAGGGGCTGGTGGAGACGACTCGTGGGGCTTCTGAGGGAACCTGCCACCAGGTGAGGCCGCCCTCGGGCTCTGGCCCTGGGCTCCCCGGCAGCCTGGGCTCTTCCTGTGGACCAGCACGTGGGGGAGGAACAGGTCCCTTTTTCTGGACTTTGTTCTTTGAGGCTCTGCCTTGCCCTGGCACTTGATTTTATATATATATATGAATTATTATTATTATTTTTTTAAGATGGAGTCTCACTCTGTCACCCAGGCTGGAGTGCAGTGGCGCGATCTCAACTCAGTGCAACTTCTGCCTCCCGGGTTCACGCCATTCTTCTGCCTCAGCCTTCCAAGTAGCTGGGACTACAGGCGCCCACCACCACGCCCAGCTAATTTTTTGTATTTTTAGTAGAGACGGGTTTTCATCGTGTTAGCCAGGATGGTCTCGATCTCCTGACCTCATGATCCTCCCACCTTGGCCTCCCCAAGTGCTGGGATTACAGGCGTGAGCCACCACGCCCGGCACAGATCATATTTCTTTAATGACACCAGAAATACATGCCTGTGTGCTATGACAGGCATGGAATTATTGGGTATAGGAGCATTTGGAGTGACCAGGGCAGGCCCCTCTGTCCCCTTCTTGCATCCCACTGCTTGGGGTTGAGTGTGTGACACCCACGGGGCCTGGTGCCCTACTCAGGCCTGGCCAACGTGATGGAGGAGCTGGGCTTCTGGGGCCTGGTGCCCTCCTTGGGCCTGGCCGACGTGATGGAGGAGCTGGGTTCTGGGGAGGTGTCCGGGGACTGCCAACAAAGGCGGGGGTTGCCCCAAGGTCAAGGCCGTGTGAGTGAGTGGTCTGCCCCCTGCCCCCCAGTGCCTCAGGGTTGGGTAACCCATCTCGGGTGCGGCTTGAAGAGAGGGTCCCGCTGCCACCCAGAAAGGCTAGAGAGAACAGAGAAATGCCTGCCAAGCCTGGCTGGTGTCACCTGTCCTAAGACCCCCGGGGGGCTAGTGACGAGAGAAGTGCCACAGTCCCCCTGTCTCAGGACCTGGCGCAAGGCCAGCTTACCTCCCAGCCGGGATCACAGAGAAAACAGTCCCCTCCCTCTAGGACCTGGTACAGGGCCCTGATTCCCCTCCAGCAAGGATCCACAGAGCAGGAGCAGCTCCAGGAACCCCTGGGATTGCCGGGTCCAGCACCCGATCCCCATCCCAGCCTGCCAGTGTCCATCCAGTTGAGCTTGCAGGGCAAAGCCACCCTCCCTGCCCTCATGAACAGGGAGAACTGAGGCTCAGACAGAAAGGGTGTGTGCGAGGGCTCCCACAGTCACGCGAGGAGAAAGCGGGGTCCACCTGAGGGCCGGGTGTCTTAACTGTTGCGTTTACTGAGGCGCTGAAGCCCGGGGCTCCCCCTGGTAGTGCCTCCCCACACTGGGCTCTGGGGCCAGGGCCAAGCCTCCTTCTGCCTTGTGTGTACAGTGGTGGCCCTCCCAACACCCCCACCCATCTTCTGGGCTCCAAGTGTGGCTCTTTTGTCCCAGGGAGGCCCCCAAGCCCTGGCCGCAAGGGCAAAGCAGGGCCGATGTGGTGGGGAGGAGGGGCCTGTGGGGGTGGTGAATGTTCCTGGCCATGGAGTTTTATCAGACATTGAAACCTGCCTTGACAAAGACACCCTGTCCTTAGGGATGCACCTCGGCCTGGCCTGTGGCGAAGAAACATGTGGGAGGGGTGTTAAGAGGAGTGAGATATTGGTGACCATCCTCAGGGGCCCTGACGGAATGATAAAACCACAGCGGACCGGTGTGGTGGTTCACAGGCACACAGCTCCAGTGTGTACGGACACATGAAAGAGCAGCGTTGACGCCCTACCGCGTCTGAATGCTGAGGAAGAGAGACCCCGCGGTGCATGTGTGGCCACCATTGTGCCTCGCTCCCGGGAGTGATATGTGGGTCTCTGCTGGGCCGGAAAAACGGGCCGCTGGGAGCAGGCGTGAGGGTTGGGGAAGGAGCATTTTGCACTGGTGGTGTACTTAAGTACTGTGTTCATTCTAAAAGTAACACTCAAGCTGGGCGCAGTGATTCACGCCTGTAATCCCAGCACTTTGGGAGGCTGAGGCAGGTGGATCACTTGAGGTCAGGAGTTCGGACCAGCCTGGCCAACATGTCGAAACCCTGTCTGTACTAAAAATAAAAAATTAGCCTGGCATGATGGTGCACACCTGTAATCCCAGCTACTCTGGAGGCTGAGGCAGGAGGAGCACTTGAACTTGGGGGACAGAGGTTGCAGTGAGCTGAGATCATGCTGCTGCACTCCAGTCTGGGCGACAGAGCAAGACTCTTATCTAAAAAAAAAAAAAAAGTAAACCAGCTTAGCACCCCATCGAAAGGAAAAGCACAGCCACACTGGGGGATGTAGCAAAGGGATTGGGCAGGTGTGGGCTCTGGAAGAATCGTAGCCGGGCCTGACGTGGGCAGAGCTGCATGGTGAGCCGAGAGGCTGTGGAAGGCCCTGGAAGGTGAGGGCCACGTGGTCATGTAGGCTGTTTGCTGTCCCCCACAAGAGAGGGTCCCCAAAAGACAGATGTCTGCAGCCCTGCCAGCTTTCAGAGTGGGAGGGGCGGGCACGGAGGGCCCTCGCCCTGCTGCAGTCTCACTGCCTGCTCTCGGCTCCCCGCAGATACAGCCCCAAAAGCCCCTCACTACAGTCCGAGACCGTCCACTACAAGAGAGGGGTGAGCCAGCAGTTCTCCCTGCCCTCCTTCAAGATCGACTTCTTGGAATGGAAGGATGACGAGGTAATCCTGGCTGGGCTCCTCCTTGCCCTTCGCTCCTTCTCTCGAATTCTCTCCTCTTGGGGGTGGGGCCAGCGCAGTGGGACCTGTGTGTTTGGGTTCCTCCGTACTTCATAAGGCCTGGGAACGGCTACCCTAGTCTATGTGCTCAGGCAGACGTGCGGATGGACTGGAGCAAGGCCTGGGCCACATGTTGGCGGAGCCAGGAGACCAGACGCCAACCAGGCAGCCACACTCGGAGGTTCAGACACTGGGGTTTCGGGAGGCGTGAAGAATGGGGCACCCTTTGCCGGCTGCAGCAATGCAGGGTCTGTTCACACCAGGTGGTGGTCTTTTTTTTTTTTTTTTTTTTTTGAGACGGAGTCTCGCTCTGTCGTGGCCCAGGCTGGAGCTCAGTGGCCGGATCTCAGCTCACTGCAAGCCTCTGCCCTCCCAGGTTCACTCTGCCATTCCCCTGCGCCCCATACCTCCCGAGTAGCTGGGACTACAGGCGCCCACCACCCTCGCCGGCTAAGTTTTTTGTATTTTTTTTTAGTAGAGACAGGATTTCACCGTGTTAGCCAGGATGGTCTCGATCTCTTGACCTCGTGATCCGCCCGTCTCGGCCTCCAAAGTGCTAGGATTACAGGCTTGAGCCACCACGCCCAGCCCCTGGTGGTAGGTGCTTCAAACTTTTTTTTTTTTTTTTTTTTTTGAGACAAAGTCTCGCTCTGTCACCCAGGCTGGAGTGCAGTGCCCGGATTTCTCAGCTCACTGCAAGCTCTGCCTCGGCCGTGGTTCAGCGCCATTCTCCTGCCTCAGCTTCCCGAGTAGCTGGGACTACAGGCGCCCGCCACCTCGCCCGGCTAGTTTTTTGTATTTTCAGTAGAGACGGGGTTTCACCCGTGTTAGCCAGGATGGTGCCTCGATCTCCTGCGACCTCGTGATCGCCCGTCTCGGGCCTCCCAAAGTGCTGGATTACAGGCTTGAGCCACCGCGCCCTAGCCGAAACTTTTTAACCTTACTTTTGTTTAAAATCTTGATGCAGACGTCTCTTTTTTTTTTTTTTTTTTTTTTTGAGACGGGAGTCTCACTCTGTTCCCAGGCTGGAGTGGCAGTGGTGCGTCTTGGCTCAACTGGCAACCTCTGCCTCCTGGGTTCAAGGGATTCTCCTGACCAGGTTCCTGAGTACGCTGCGGATTACAGGCAATGCACCATGGCAGCTGATTTTTTGTATTTTTTAGTAAGATGTGGTTTCACTGTGTTAGCTCAGATGGTCCTTGATCTTCTGACCTCGTGATCCGCCTGCCTTGGCCTTCAAAGTGCTAGGATTACAGGCGTCAGCCACTGTGACCAGCCAAAGCTGCAGACTTCTTTTAACGAGGCCTTTTGTAGGTTGTGGCTTAAGTGGCTGCTTTGCTAGTTTTCCCTCCTAGGCCCCTCTCCAGCTTTCAGTCAAAGCTGTATCCTCCTTCCTTCTCCCTTTGCCTTGTTTTCCAGCGTCCATGTGGTCTGCAGCTTGCAAAGACCCTGGTCCAGGGGGTTCCTGTGTAACAGTACAGACCTCGTGTGGCCAGGCACAGTGGCTCACGCCTGTCATCCCAGCACTTTGGGAGGCTGAGCAGGCGGACTCAGTGAGTCAGGAGATTGAGACCATCCTGGCTAACAGCAGTAAAATCCCGTCTCTATTGAAAATACAAAAAAAATTTTAGACCGGCGACGGTGGGTGGGCATGTAGTCCCAGCTACTCGAGAGGCTGAGGGCAGGGAGGAAATGGTGGTGAACGGCGAGGCGGAGGCTTCGCAGCGAGAGCCGAGTACCGAGCCAGTGCACTCCGCTTCGGGCCGACAGCAGCGAGACTCCGTCTCAAAAAAAAACAAAACAAAAACAAAACAGACAGACCTGTGGGCTCGAGCCCAAGAGGAGCGACATTGACCACATGCCTCCCATGGAGGCTCGATGAGCTCCGACTTATGCTCGGGGCCAGTCCTGTGGGCTCCTCTCTTCCTGACTGCAGCATTGTCTCTGTGAAAAGCCTCCTTGTGCCTACCTGCATTAAAAATTAAAAACAAGCGCAGGTGTGGTGGCTTTTTGCTTGTAGTTTCCAGACTTTGGGGGGCTGAAGTGGAAGTGATCCATTTAAGGTTGAGCCAGCCTGAGGTAAAACCTTGTCTCTATGAAAAATACAAAAATTCAGCTTGGTGTGATGGTATTCGCTTGTAGTCTCCAGCTCCTGAGAGGAGGCTGAGGTGGGAAGATCGCTTGAGCTTGGGAGATCGAGGTTGGCAGTGAGCCATGATCATGCCACTGCAACTTCAGCGGGTGCGACAGAGCGAGACCCTGTCTCAAAAGTGAAAGCACCTGGGAGTGGGGGACCACCAGGTTGTCTAAGGAGGGGGGAATCGGCCCAGGCTGGAAACCGAACAGATGAAAACTCGCATGTTGAGGAGTAGTGGGATTGTCCCTTTGAATAGCCATTGTACTCCAGCCTGAGCAACATAGCGAGACTCCATTTCTTGGGAAGGTAAAAAAATAATAATAAAAAAAGGTAAAAGTAAAATAAATGTCTCCCCAGACTCCCTTGGGTGGACGGAGTCTCTGTCCTCTCCCAGCATCACCGGTGTGGACCCTGCACGCAGCTCTCACGTGTGGCTGTGGGTGCTGTGTGGCGTGTGTGCTGAACTCTGGGGAGTGGGAGTTTGGGGGTGTCTCTGTTCCCTGTTTGTTTCATGTTCCCTGGGGTCCCTTCCCCAGCCCCTCTGGGGAGCCCCATTCTCCATGCCCTGTGAGCCGTGGGTTTGCAGGTGAGGTGGTCGGGGGAGGGGAGTGGTCACTGTGGCCAGCTTCCTGAGGGTTCAGGGCCCAGAGAGGGTTGGAACCACGATGCCCCCAGTTGTCCTTACCTCTGTCCCGGACTTGGCACTGGACCCACCAGGGGCCCTTTGGTGAGGGTTTGCTGAGGAAGCTGAATGAGCGCCCGTGTGCTTGTAGCCCTGGCTCGTCCGTGGATGGCCATGCTGAGAGTCGGCGCACGTCAGGGACAGCTGCTGCTGTGCGGCCTTCGAGGTGCTGTCTTTGTCAGGACTTTTGTGGATGGAAGTGACAGAAAAACTCTTGGGTTTGTTTAAGAAAAGAAAACTAGAGACTTACTGGTATAGATTCAGAGAAGACTGGGTGGCCTGAGGTTTCTTCCAGGGACTGTGTCATCAGGGCGGGGATCTCTGTGGCTTAGCCTCCCACCTCCCTCAGCTGGCCCTGTTCTCAGGGAGTGCCCTGCAGGCCAGCGCGGGGCCATCCGGCTGGGTCCAGAGGTGCTTGGAGGCCGTGCGCCTTCTCTTTGTGGCCCCACTTGGGGCGGGGGCCTCCCGTCCTGCAGCCAGGCCGCAGAGACCTGGAGTAGGAGGGAGACGCTTTCCCAGAGAGAACCTGAGGGGCTCAGATGCTGGGCCAGACGTGGCTTAGCGTCGTTAAGAGCACAGCTGCAAGGACAGGCCACAGGGGTGCCCAGGGTGGCTGCACTGGCCTTGCCCAGGAGCAGAGAGGACATGTGTGGAGGGGCTGGGGGCCCAGTTTGGTTCTGCTACTTTCTCTCTCTAGAGCGTTAGGCCAGTTCTGCAGCTCTGTGAGCCTGGGTTTGCCCTTCTGCAGACTGGGGCTGGAAGCAGTTCCTCACAGGGTGGCCATGAGGGCTCTGTGATCAGCATGCAAAGGGCTTTACCCGGGGTGCCCACTGTAAACCCCAGTCTGCTAGCCGGCTAGTGGGAGAGAAGGCTACAGCTACCATCATGCACGCCTCCCCCAGACCATTGGTTTTTTTTTTTTTTTTTTTTTTTTTTTGAGATGGAGTCTCGCTCTGTCGCCCAGACTGAAGTGCAGTGGCCGGATCTCAGCTCACTGCAAGCTCCGCCTCCCGGGTTCCCGCCATTCTCCTGCCTCAGCCTCCCGAGTAGCTGGGAGTACAGGCGCCCGTCACCTCGCCCGGCTAGTTTTTTTTTTGTATTTTTTAGTAGAGACGGGGTTTCACCGTGTTAGCCAGGATTGTCTCGATCTCCTGACCTCGTGATCCACCCGTCTCGGCCTCCCAAAGTGCTGGGATTACAGGCTTGAGCCACCGCGCCCGGCCTCTAACCATTGGTTTTTATTGCACACCAGTAAAGCACTGTCAGCACTGAGTTTCTGCCGTGTGATGAGAAAAAATCACAGCTCACTCAGAGGCTCCTCCGTCAGTGCTGAGGTGCTGGCTGCGCGGATGCATTCCAGGCCTGGGTGGAAGCGCAGGGTGGGCAGGGGCGTGGGGGTGGGCGCGCTCCACAAAGCTCTGCCTCCCCCGTCCAGCTCCATCACCTAAAGGAGCGGCTGCCGGTGTGTGAACTCCTCCTTTCTGAGCTTCATGACAGCCCTTGTGGCAGCAGCGTGGGAGCGTTGCCAGGCAACCCTGGGACGATGGCTCCTGTGCAGACTCAGCGGAGTGGGCAGGAAACAGGCTCACAAGGGGCCTACAGTCCCAGCATCAGCCCCTGACAGGCTCCCCACGCCAGGGAACGGAGTGTCCCTCCCTCTGGCAAGCCCAGGTGTCTGTGGTATCCCTCGGTTGGCTGGGAGCTGGAGGCCTGGCTGGGTCCTGGTGGGTGTGAACATGTGCCCCACCTCCCTGCAGCCTCCCCCCGCTTTTTTGAGACAGGGCCTCACTCTGTCTCCCAGGCTGGAGTGCAGTGGCACAATCACAGCTCGTTGCAGCCTCGAACTCCTGGGTTAAGAGATCCTCTCACCTCAACTTTCCCAGTAGCTGGGATTACAGGTGCCACCACTGCTGGCTGTTTGTTTGTTTGTTTGTTTGTTTGGTAGAGACACAGTTTGACTGTGTTGCCTAGGCTGATCTCAAACTCCGGGGCTGCAGCAATCCTCCTACCTCGGTCTCCCAGAGTGTTGGGATTACAGGCCTGAGCCACCATGTCAGGCCCAACAGCCTGCAGCTTTCTGATGTGTGTGGACATTTGCACAAAGCTCTGGCCCAGGATTGGCCTCCTTGGCCACCTTTCGCACCCTTTTCTCCTTTTGCAGCCTCCAGCCCCTCCCAGAGGAGACTGGGTCGGCTCCCGTTGCCTGGACACACGGACTTCTGGGTGCTGGTGTTGACTGTGTGCTCTGCCAGCCACAGCACCTGGAGCCTTGCGTTAGGCATGACTTCCGTTCCATTTTGCCAAATGGGGAAACTGAGGCTCGGGTGGGGGCCTGTTTGTAGTGAAAGGGTAAGGAGCTAGACTCAGCGCCAGCAGCCCTGACTCTGGCCCCGGGCCAGTGCCCTGCCAACTCATGGCTTCACCCTTCCTCACTAACAGAGACCACGGCACTTCTCAGCCTTCACAGCACAGCCCCCAGCGTCAGTGTCTCTGTCCACCTTTGTCCACGTGTGCGTTGGTATCCATACCACGGGACTTGTGGCTGGAGCCTGTGACCCTCCCTCGTGAGATGCAGGGCCTAGGCCCGTGTGGACTTGGTCTCCAGGCTTGTGGTTTGTTCAGCTGATGGCTGCCTGCCCAGGGCTTCTTATATCGATGGGTTACATGTGCCATTCATTCTGATCGGAATGGAACTCTTAGCTCCAGATGGCAGGAAGCTGCTGTAGCTGTGTGCCAGGTGCCTGTGGGTATGGAGTCCCTGCTGGGTGGGGACATCCTTGGGAGCGCCTGGGTACTGCCAGCCTTTGCCCTGTGTCCATGTCCATGTAGCCTTCCTGGTTGGCAGTCGGGCACAGTAATGTTTCTCCCCGTCCCCTTCTCCTGACTACTCTCTGTGGTCCACGTAACTCTTTTCCTCGTCTGTGTTTTTGGTAGGAAATTCACTGTGTTGACAAATCTTAGGAAGAAACATTTCTCTCTGTTCCTTAAATAATTGTAATATTTGGCCAGGGGCAGTGGCTCATGCCTGTAATCCCAGCATTTTGGGAGGCTGAGTCAGGCGGATCTCTTGCGGTCAGGAGTTTGAGACCAGCTTGGCCAACAGGGTGAAACCCTGTCTCTACAAAAAATACAAAAATTTAGCTGGGCATGGTGGCAGGCGTCTATAATCCCAGCTACTCGGGAGGCTGAGGCAGGAGAATTGCTTGAACCCAGGAGTTGGAGGTTGCAGTGAGCCAACATCCCGCGGCTGCACTCTAGCCTGGGTGACAGAGCAAGACTCTATCTCAAAAAAAAAAAAAAAAAACATGATAGTAATATTCACAACAACCGTAGCAACCAGCACAGGCAGTGTCTGTGCTGGGTCTGTTGCGAGGCCTACATTTGTGCTTTATCCTTGAAACCGATATGGTAGCACAGTAATAACCCCATTTTACAAGGAAGGAAGCCGAGGCTCAGGAGGACCTGAGATGAAAGCCACCGTGGGCCTCTGGGGTGGGGATGTGTGCCCCTGCCCTGCTTCTGCTGCCCACTTCACGGAGGGACAGTGGGAGAGGAGACATCCTGTGTGTCTGTTGGTTCTGAGCGTTGCCGTTTGGGGTGAGTGCTTGGCTGCGGGCTCAGGGTTCCCGTGTGCTGGGCCAGGAGTGTTCCCACCTGGACGTCTGTGGGGGTGGTTGCTGCAGACATGGAGGGGCTCGTCCGTTCCTCGTGGGTCTTGGTCACTGAGGCCTGTGGTCGGGCTCGGGAGGTAGGAGGCTCTCCCCCGACCCAGCTGCCCTTGCCTGAACTGGGCCTGCCAGGCCCTTCCTCTTTGATGTCTCATCCATTTTTTGTTTTTGTTTTTGAGGTGGAGTCTCACTCTGTCCCCCAGGCTGGAGTGCAATGGGGCGTTCTCGGCTCACCACAACCTCTGCCTCCCGGGTTCAAGCGATTCTCCTGCCTCAGCCTCCTGAGTAGCTGGGACTACAGGCGCCCACCACCTCGCCCGGCTAGTTTTTTGTTTTTGTTTTTGAGGTGGAGTCTCACTCTGTCCCCCAGGCTGGAGTGCAATGGGGCGTTCTCGGCTCACCACAACCTCTGCCTCCCGGGTTCAAGCGATTCTCCTGCCTCAGCCTCCCGAGTAGCTGGGATTACAGGCGTGCATCACCACGCCCGGCCAATTTTTGTATTTTTAGTAGAGACGGGGTTTCACCATATTGGCCAGGCTGGTCTCGAACCCCTGACCTGAGGTGATCCGCTGTCTGGGCTTTCCAAAGTGCTGGGATTACAGGCGGGAGCCATGGCATCCGGCCTTGTTCTGTTTTTTTTTTTTTTTAAACACCTTTATTGTGTTATAATTACCATCTCCTGCAATTCACTCATGTTAAGCAAATGATTCGCTGGCTTTTAGAATGCTCACAGTGGCGCAGCCAGTATCCGTTCTTTCAGTAAATCTTTATTGAGAAATAAATGATTCTTTTTCCTCCCAGAATAAACAGGTGCATGTGTCCATTGCTGTTCTGTGCCAGACACCGAGGATGTCATGGTGACTGGAGAGACAGGGTCCCTGCCCTCCACGGAGCGAGTCAGGGAGCCCGATAGTGGCCAGTGGCTTTCCTGGTTACCAGGGTCTGAATGATAGAAGCCCAGGGGCCAAGTGCTTCCTGAGGCCCAGAGAAAGACTTGGCCTGCAGAGGGCGGGGCGAGACCCGCAGAGCAGTACCGGGGAGTAGGGCTCCAAGAGGATGGTACTGTGCTGGGCCGACTGCTGGAGCCCTGGGGGCCGTGGGGAAGAGGGTGGCCTTCAGCCTGTGCACGGCAGGGTTGGGATGAAAGCAGGAGGAAGCTTCTCCTTGGACTCAAGCCAGCCTCGTGGTCTCCCTCGCTTGCCTTTTGTGTTTTCTGGGGCCAAGCCAGGTGCCTTCAAAAGTCACAGGGAGTTGCCCAGTGACCAGCACTTCCCCTCCAAGGCACGCACCCAGGAGAACCGAAAACGCGGTTCAGGCAGACACTTGCGCAGCACTGCTCACCGTAGCCAGGACGCAGGCCCAGTCCGGTGTCCGTCACGGAGGAATGCGTGCACAGCGTGTGGATGTCCACACAGTGCCTGTTATTTGGCCAGAAAAAGGAAAGCAGCACCGATGCGTGCTGCTCCGTGGGTGAACTTTGGAAATATACCTAGACAGAAGGTCACCTGTTGTGCAATTCCATGTAAATGACAGGTCCGAAAATGGCAAATCCCTTGAGACAGGAAGCACGTGGTGGCTTCTGAGGGCTGGGGGAGGGGACGGAGAGTGTGTGGGTGCTGATGGCTATGCGTGGGCTTTCTGTTTGGGTGGTGAAAAGTTCTGGAAATGGATGGTGGCAGTTGCATGACATTTTAGATGTACTTTACTCAACGCTGTTGAAACGTGGTTAAAATGGCAGAGTTTATGTTTTATCTGTTTTAACACACACATTAAAAAGGTGCCAAGCCTGGCATCCGCCTTTCCTGCCATCTCGAGGCGTGTCCTCTGAGCTCTGCTGCTGCCTGCTTTCTCCAGCTCATCTGTTGACTGACTCCAGGCTTCCAGGCTTGGCTGTGTGGGTCCTGACCGTTCTTGCCAACTCTCTCCTCAGCTGAACTTTGACCTGGACCGAGGCGTGTTTCCAGTGGTCATCCAGGCTGTGGTAGACGAAGGAGATGGTGAGTGCATCCTCTTCCATCCTCCTGGGCGTGCAGGCCATGCAAGGAGGAAGCGCGTCCTGAGGGAGGAGTGCTTGCAGCAGTGATGAAGCAGGCCAGGCACAGGGCTTTGGGCTCGCCACAAGGTGGGGTGTGTGGGCAGCTTGGAGTCTGGGGCAGGTGAGGAAGTGGAAAGTGGAGGAGGGCGGGTCCCAGAACAGACTCTGGACTCTGGACTCTGCGCAGGCTGAGCCCTTGGTGCCGCAGGCCTGCCAGGCTCGGGGAGGTGAGATGCCTGGGTGGGGCAGGCCCGGATTCTTGACTGCTCTGCCCCTTTCTCCCCAGCAGTGGTGGAAGTGACCGGCCATGCCCACGTGCTCTTGGCCGCCTTTGAAAAGGTAAGTGCCATCTGGCCATCACCTTCCCGAGGACCTGGGAGCTGGGCAGGGGTTGGTCTTTTGAGATAAGGCTGAGCAGGGGTTGGGGCTTCGTGGGGTGGCTGAGTGTCAAGGGCCCGGGGCAGGTGGGGGTGTGCCTGTGGCTTCCTGCTTTCCAGAATTCTGGTCCCGAGGCTGAGCGCCGCTGTCAGGAGGCTTTGCATTTGCTTTTTTTGTTTTTTTTTTTTCCTGAGACACGGTCTCACTCTGTCACCCAGGCTGGAGTTCAATGACCTCGGCTCACTGCAACCTCTGCCTCCCCGGTTCAAGCAATGCGCCCACCTCAACCTCCCGAGTACCTGGGAGTACTATGTACCACCACGCCTGGCTAATTTTTGTGTGTTTAGTAGAAACAGGGTTTCACCATGTTGGCCAGATTGGTCTCAAACTCCTGACCTCAAGTGATCCCCCTGCCACGGCCTCCCAAAGTGTTGGGATTACAGGCGTGAGCCACTGGGCCTGGCCTTTTTTTTTTTGGAGACGGAGTCTCGCCGTGTCATCCAGGCTGGAGTGGTGCGGTGGTGCAATATGTGCTCACTGCGACCTCTGCTTCTCAGGTTCAAGCGATTCTCCTGCCTCAGCCTCTAAGTACCTGTGATTACAGGCCCATGCTACTATGTCTGGCTAATTTTTTTTTTTTTGAGACAGAGTCTCGCTCTGTTGCCCAGGCTGGAGTGCAGTGGCGCGACCTCGGCTCACTGCAACCTCTGCCTCCGGGGTTCACCCCATTCTCCTGCCTCACCCCCCCAAGCAGCTGGGACTACAGGCACCTGCCACCACACCCAGCTAATTTTTTGTATTTTCAGTAGAGACGGTTTCATTGTGCTAACTGTGCTAGTCAGGATGGTCTTGATCTCCTGACCTCGTGATCCACCTGCCTCGGCCTCCCAAAGTGCTGGGATTACATACATGAGCCACTGCACCTGGCCACACCTGGCTAATTTTTGTATCTTTAGTAGAGACGGGGCTTTGCCATGTTGACCAGGCTGGTCTTGAACTCCAGGTCATCTGCCTGCCTCGGCTTCCTGAAGTGCTGGGATTACAGGTGTGAGCCACTGCGCCTGGCCTTTATTTTATTTTATTTTATTTTTATTTTATTTTTTTGAGATGACGGAGTTTCGCTCTTGTTACCCAGGCTTGGAGTGCAATGGTATGATCTCGGCTCACTGCAACCTCCACCTCTTGTTTCAAGAGATTCTCCTGCCTCAGCCTCACGAGTAGCTGAAATTACAGGTGTCCACCACCATGCCTGGCTAATTTTTTGTGTTTTCAGTAGAGATGGGGTTTCACCATGTTGACCAGGCCGTTCTCGAACTCCTGACCTCAGGTGATCCACCCGCCTCGCCCCCCCCACAGAGTGCTTGGATTACAGGCATGAGCCACCGCATCTGGCCATCTTTTTTTTAAACAGTTTCTCGCTCTGTTGCCTGGGCTGGAGGGCTGTGGTATGATCTCAGCTCACTGTAGCCTTGACCTCCTGAGCTTAAGAGATGGTGCCGCTTCAGCCTCCTGAGTCGTTGGGACTACAGGAGTACACCACCGTGTCTGGCTAATTTTAAAAAAATTGTTTTTGGCCGGGCGCGGTGGCTCAAGCCTGTAATCCCAGCACTTTGGGAGGCCGAGACGGGCGGATCACGAGGTCAGGAGATCGAGACCATCCTGGCTGACACGGTGAAACCCCGTCTCTACTAAAAAGATACAAAAAAAAATTAGCCGGGCGAGGTGGCGGGCGCCTGTAGTCCCAGCTACTGGGGAGGCTGAGGCGGGAGAATGGCGTGAACCCGGGAGGCGGAGCTTGCAGTGAGCTGAGATCCGGCCACTGCACTCCAGCCTGGGCGACAGAGCCAGACTGCGTCTCAAAAAAAAAAAAAAAAAAAAATTGTTTTTATAGAGAGGAGGTCTCGCTGTGTTGCCCAGGCTGGTCTCAAACTCCTGGCCTCACGTGATCCTCCCATTTGGCCTCCCAAAGTGCTGGAATTATAAGTGTGAGCCACCATACCTGGCCAAGACGCTTTTCAAAGGGTACTTGGAGTATGTCAAGGGAGAATGTTCTAGACTGAGGCCAGCCCTCTAGAATTCTGTAGAGCCTGCTGACATGGGCTGGGGCTCCCACAAGGTGGGCTCCCTGCGGTAGACTTACTTCACCCTGGGGTGTGCAGAGATCAGCAGTGTTGTTACCTCCTTGGGCTGTAGCCTTTTCCCACCAGGCTCAGTGTCCTTGGGTGTCACCTGGCACATGTCACAGAGCCCCAGTCCTACTGCTCCTTCCCCCACCTGGCTGCCACATCCTGATGGTGCGGACTGGTCAGGCCCCACTCCTTGCAGGAGGCTTTTCCTGACACCCCTCAGAACAAACATCTGTTGTCCCCGCTTGATGTTCACGAGGGCAGCCCTCTCCTTTTGGATGTCGTGGCATCCTCAGAGCTGAGTTTGACACCTGGCACAGAGCAGACACTCAGGGAACGCTGGCAGGATGGACGAGGGGCTGCTGCCCAGCTGGCATTGGTTTCTCCTGAGAACTTGGCGGAGGTGATGGGACGCACCCTTGTTTGTTAGTGCCTCGATGGCCCCCCCCAGTGTACACTGACGTTCATCAGCACCCTGCCATTGCAGGTCTGCGTGGCACCATCCTGCGGCCCCGGAGTCAGGAGGGGAAAAGGATCCCGTGAGACAAGGCCCAGCCTGCCTGCTTCGGGCTTCACGCTGCCTCTGGGTGCTGCCTAGCCCAGGCTCTCCACCCACCTCCAGCCCCATGTGTGGCCACAGCCCCTGAGAACTCTAAGTGCAGAGTCCAGCTCCTCCCTGTGATCTGGGTCTTTCTAGAGCACCCCAAGGTCGGGGGTTCTGTAAGCTGGGTAGAGGACCCTTGTCTGTGTGTCCTGTGACGAGGCTGGGTCTGTTCTCTCCTGAGTCCAGGACCACAGACTGTGGTAACGCAAGTGCCCCGGGCAGAGGGCAGCCTTCTGCCTTTTTAGCACTGGGCTCCCCAGCTTCTCTCCCCAGCCCGGCCTTGTCAGAAGCCACGGTGACTGTTGACACATCTGCCCCCTCTGGCAGAGGCAGATGGGCCATATCTGGCAAACCGGTCCATTTTGTGCTTCGAGTACAGAACCCAGTGGGAAACTGCTTTATTTTTGGAGTCCAGCATTCTGGAAATTTCTGTCAGAACCCGCCAGCCTCACCGGAAAATTCTGAGTGCTGGTCATGGTTGACTGAGAAGGGATAGTGAGTGCTGTTGCGAGGTCGCCGTAATTAACCTTGTCAAACTGTGAGCGGTGGTGTGTTTCCCTGGATACCACCGGGCATGCTTGTTCTATTTTGTTCCCGCGTTTTTAGAGCTTTGCGGTTCCCTGCGTGTGCACCCCTGTGCGTGCTCCCGCTCTGTCTTTCTAACTCAGCCGGGCCCTGGGAGAGCAGGAACCTGTTTTGTTTGTCTTGATTTTCGTTGCCAGGCGCTGCTTCTCGGTGTGCAGGAGGCCCTTGTCCATCAACTTGGCTGACGGGCCTTCAGCTTGAGTGTGCTTGAGACCAACCGAGGAGAGTTGGGTTCTGTGGGTCAGCGCAGGGTCCCAGGGCTGTATGCTCAGGAGGCTTCAGATAGTTTCACAGCCAGGCCTGAGGACCGTGTTTTGAGAAATCTTGGCTCTTTAGTTTTCAGGTGGCCCCATCCTTTTTTTTTTTTCTTTTTCCAGCTACGGGCATGGATTGGCTGGGGCAGGGTGGCCGACCCTGGAGGCCACACAGGGGTGCTCAGAGGCGCCAGCTTGACCACCTTAACCTCTGTGTCTTTCTCCCCTGCAGCACATGGACGGCAGCTTCTCTGTGAAGCCTTTAAAGCAGAAGCAAATCGTAAGTCATCAGAGGAAATACTGCCCGTTTGAATTAAGACACACACACACAATCCCATACATACTCATACATAGACACACATACTCATACATAGACACACACGAACACACGCACATATACTCACATATACATAGATACACGTACTCACAGACACACGAACACACGCACATATACTCACATACTCATACATAGATACACGTACTCACAGACACACGAACACACGCACATATACTCATACATAGACACACATACTCATACATACACAATCAGATACATACTCGTAGACACATATACCCATACATAGACACAGTCATACATAGACACACATACATAGACACACACGTACACACGCACATATATTCACACACTCAGACACACATACTCATAGACACACATGTACACATGCACATATACTCAGACACATTTGCTTGCACACATATACATAGACACATGCACATACACTCACATGTAGACACATACACATACATAGACACACATACACATACATTCACACTTATACTCGCACACAGATACACACACACACTCACACTTACATATAATCACACACACATACTCATACAGTCACACACACGTACATAGACACACTCATACAGTCACAATCACACACTCATACATAGACACACATGTACATATACACAGTCACATATTCATACATAGACATATACTCATACATATTCACACACATACATAGACATACACATACATATTCATAGACACATTCACTTCGCACGCATACATAGGCACACACTGATACACATACACTCACGCACTCACATGCATACTCATACACATGCTCATACATACACACACATTCCCTCGCACACATATACAGACACATACATACACACACATACACTCACGATCATTCGCACACATGTACATAGACACATCACGGGCGTATACAAAGACGCACATACACTCACATAGACACTCATACACACATATACACCTACACACATACACTCAGACACACACATACACACACAGACACACATAGACACACACGTATAGACACACATACACTCACTCCTACTCACATATAGACACACTCACACACACTCTTCAGTACTCTTCATGCACTGCTCTTCCTAGGCAACCCTTGCTGCCTTTGAAATAACTGTGCAGGGGCTGGGCACAGTGACTAACGCCTGTAATCCCAGCACTTAGGGAGGCCGAGGTGGGCAGATCACTTGAGCCCAGGAGTTTGATACCAGCTTGGCCAAGATGGTGAGACCCTGTCTCTACTAAAAATAAAATTAACCGGATGTAGTAACACATGCTTGTACAATCTCAGTAGAGGTTGCAGTGAGCCGAGATCATACCACTGCACTCCAGCCTGGGTGACAGAGTAAGAGTCTGTCAAAAAAGAAAAAAGATAGCTGTGCAAGAGCCTGTTGACTTCCCTGTAGAGCTCTAAGCTGTGGGACATTGGGTCCCTGTCTTGGGTGAGCGTATGTGTATTGCATGCCCACCATGTGCAGGGCCTCTTGCAGGCCCTGAGTTCTGTCCAGTTTGGGCCATGGTGTCTGGAATATAGTGTTGAGTAAATATTTGCCGAATGAATGGATGGATGGAAAAGGAAGGAAAGAGACCAGAAACAAAGTCTGCAGCTCCTTCTCTTCCTTACAAGGAAGTATTGGACAGAGACTTGGCTTGAGTTCATCAATACTTGAAGGATAAAATAGCCTAGAATAAATGGAGCTATAGAGCAGTCCATCTGTTCTCTGGGGTCAGTAATCCTGGGATGCTGTATTGGGAAGTGTTGTTCCTGGTGGCCTCACGTGTAGCCGCTGAGGATTTAGAGGATATGGGGTTCCCTAAACAGCAGTGTTAGATCTTGCAATGAGATGTCCTAGGCTGTGCCTAGCAGTTACCCTGTGTGTACTGTTGAGGCACGTAAGACCTATTTCAAGCCACCACTTGGGCATGATTTTTGTCAGCTTTTTATTTTTTTTATATTTAATTTAATTTTTATTTTTATTTTATTTTATTGAGACAAGACAGAGTCTCGCTCTGTCGCCCAGGCTGGAATGCAGTGGTGCGATCTCAGCTCACTTCAATCTCTGCCTCCTAGATTCAAATGGTTCTCGTGCCTCAGCCTCCCAAGTAGCTGGGACTACAGGTGTGTGCCACCACACTCAGTTAATTTGTTTTGTCTTGTTCTGTATTTTTGAGATGGAGTCTCACTCTGTTGCCCAGGCTGGAGTGCAGTGGCATGATCCCAGTGTACTGCAACCTCCACCTGCTGGGTTCAAGCAATTCTTCTGCCTCAGCATCCCGAGTAGCTGGGACTATAGGTACACGCCACCATTCCAGGCTAATTTGTGTATTTTTTGTAGAGATGAGATTTTGGCGTGTTGGCCAAGCTGGTCTCGAACTCCTGGCCTCAAGTGATCCACCAGCCTTGGCCTCCTAAAGTGCTGGGATTACAGGTGTCAGCCACCGCACCCGGCCATCTGTTGGCTTTTTGGATGATAGGTTGTCCAGGTGCGGTGGCTCATGCGTATGATCCCAGCACTATGGGAGGTGGAAGTGGGACGATTGCTTGAGCCTGGGGATTTGAGACCAGCCTGGGCAATGTAGTGAGATCCTGTCTCTATTTAAAATGTTGATCACAAATAAACAAAAGAGAGGTGGAGCAAACTCTAGCAGGTCCCAGGGGACTAGGAGACCCCGGTGGTGGGCAGGGCCTCGTGTTGAGGGAGCTGGCCAGCAGGCCCTGGGCTCCCTGGAGTGGTGGTCCTGGCCCGTGGTTCGTGGGAAACCCATCAGCACAGACTGCTTTGCAATGTGGTCAGTATGAGGCTTTTGGGTTGCGAGTGGGCGGCAGGACAGAATCAGCTTGGAGACATTGCTTTGGTGGCTTTGAAACCAGAGAGGCTTTCATGTGTTGAGGAAGGAGGGTCTGGAAAGCAGTGAGCGCCTAGGCTGCTGTCTGGTGCCTTTAGGCGTCGGCTCCCGCTGTCCTTGTGAGGCTGGTGGCGGTGGAACTGAGTGGTGTTGGGGGTGGTGAGGCGCTGGTGGTTGGGCCTGTGGGTTGGCTCCAGGCCCCCAGTGGTGGGGACAGCCACCAGCTCCAGCCCTGTTCCAGGTGCTGCTGGTTGGGTGGGGGCAGGCAGCAGGTTTTCCCTGTGCCTTTCCTGGCCCCCAGGGGTTGAGCTGGACGGGCCCCTGGGATGGAGGCCTGGAACCTTGGAGGCAGGGCTAGGCCAGGTGGGTGTGGAGGAGCCCTTACATGGCGGTTGGCAAGGGCCCAGCGAGCCCCTCTCTGCTCTCCAGGTGGACCGGGTCAGCTACCTCCTGCAGGAGATCTATGGCATCGAGAACAAGAACAACCAGGAGACCAAGGTGTGTACCTGGGTGAGGTTTCCCTCGCCCACACTGGGAGCAGCCGGGGGACGGCAATGCTTGCCAGTTCCCTTCCAAGCCTTCCTCTGGAGTCCTAGACCACTAGACGCCATCATTTTTCCTTCCTTTTTTTTTTAAAGCTAACACTTTGTGGAACATTTTGTCCTTTCTCCAGCAAATTCACTGGCTTGTTATGTAAATTGCCATCCAGGTTCCCCAAGGCAGCCCAGGAATGGGGGCCAGTGTCTCACCCTCCAGGCTCAGCTGTGTGGCACCCTGCCGCCTGGGCTCCCCGTAGACCAGGTTGGTCCCTGCAGCTCCTGGGAGCCCTTTCTGATGTCATAGACGGCCGTGGTGGCCTGGACAAATATTCGTGGATGGACCAGGCCATGGAACGTAGCAGGGATTGAATTGTTTTTTGTTTTTGTTTTTGTTTTTTGGGGTCAGCAGGTCTCTATTGCTGCCCAGGGCTGGAGCAGCAGGGAGATCCAGCTCCACTGTGGGCCTCTGCCTCCCGTGGTAGTTCAAGCAATTCCCCTGCCCCTCAGCCTCCGAGTGTCGGGTCGCTGGGTACCACAGGTGTGGCCCCCACACCGGCTCATTTTTTTTTATTTTAGTAGAGACAGGGTTCACGCATGTTGGCCCAGGATGGTCTCGATTCCTGACCTGTGATCACCCTCCTTTGCCTCCAAAGTGCTGGGATTACAGGGTGAGCCACAGCTGGTCCTAATTTTTAATTTTGTGTATTTTAGTAGAGATGGTGGTTCACTATGTTTGCCAGGCTGGTCTTGAACTTTCTGATCTCAAGTATTCTGCTGCTCTCAGCCTCCCAAAGCTTACTGGGATTCTCAGGCCTGAGCCCCACTGACCTGGGCCAAGCACTTTTAAAGGCTCACTGCCATGAGTGAAACTCCTGGCTTTACCCATCTCTTGAAAGTCTCACAGGCCCGCTTATTGGTGGATCTGGGCCAGCACAACTGAAGGCACTCCAGTGGCAGAGCAGAGCGCCTGGCGGGGCTCGCGCCTCAGTCCGAGGGCAAGTCAGTGATTCATGTTCCACAAGGGTGCGGCCGACTTGCGAAAAGGACCAGGAGGGATGGGAATGTTTTCACTGGCTGCCTGCATTTGTTGGCTCTGATTGCATCGACTCCACCGGGGCCCATATACCAACTAGAGCAGGCGGGGACAGTAAAATGAGTGGGTGTTAGCAAATGTTCCAATAGATTTATACAGATAGAGGCCACAGGCCCTTGTTTGTGGGGTACTGGGTTTTAGATTTTTGGCTTTCTTTATGGTCCAGGCTAATGTGGTTTCTTGTAGGCTGCCATAATTGGAAAAATATTTTTATTTTTTTTTTTTTTGAGGGCTGAGTCTGCTCGCCCCCAGGCTGGAGGTGCAGTGGGGGCCAGACTTGCTCACTGCAGCTCTGCCCCTGTTCACGCCATTCTCCTGCCAGCCTCCCAGTGCGGGACTTACAGGCGCCCGCCACCTCGCACCGGGTAGGTTTTTCTGTTTTGTATTTATTAGTAGAGACTGGAGGTTTCACCGGGTAGCCAGGATGGTTCTCGATCTCCTGAACCTCGTGATCCGCCGCTCGGTCTTCCAAGTGGCGCGTGCTGGCGGTACAGGCTTGAAAGGCCATCCGCGCCCGCTATGAAAATGTTTCTAACAATACTTTTTTTTTTTTTTTTTGAGGCGGATGTCTCACTCTGTCACCCAGGCTGAGTGCAGTGGCGGATCTCAGCTCACTGCAAGCTCTGCCTTTCTGGGGTTCACGCCATTCTTCTGCCTCAGTCTTCCTGAGTAGCTGGGACTACAGGCGCCCGCCACCTCGCCCAGCTAATTTTTTGTGCTTTTAGTAGAGACGGAGTTTCACCGTGGTCTCCATCTCCTGACGTTGTGATCCACCCGCCTTGGCCTCCCAAAGTGCTGGGATTACAGGCCTGAGCCACCGCGCCTGGCCCTAACTTGGTTTTTTTAAACCAAATGATACGGGGACGCTGACTCTCAGGAAGATGTTTCTTAGGTGCATCTCTTCCACATGTTTTTTTTGGGTCTGAAGAACAGAAAGAGACCACGTTCTCATGATTTGGGTGGGTGAGGGGCATAGACCCCGCCCCCCCCGCCAGGTGCTGAGTTTACACTGGATTTGAGCCTGGTGGTTCTGCTATGGGGCAACCTCCCCCCCACTCTGGACTTCTCTTTGTCATGACTGCCCCCGGGGCAGGGTGGAGTGGGGTGGGACAGCTGGGGACAGGAAGCAGGAGCCCTACTCTGGCCCTTGGGAGGCTGCTGACCCACAAGCCCTTGTCTCCGCAGCCCTCGGACGATGAGAACAGTGACAACAGCAATGAGTGTGTGGTGTGCCTGTCCGACCTGCGGGACACGCTGATCCTGCCCTGCCGCCACCTGTGCCTCTGTACCTCCTGCGCTGACACGCTGCGCTACCAGGCCAACAACTGTCCCATCTGCCGGCTGCGTGAGTGTCCTGGCGGGCTGTTCTGTGGATGGTTCTGGAAGTTAGAGACTGGCCACACCACAGTAGTTGTGGCCTAGGGGGCCGCAGGTCCCTGTTGGCTAAGAAAGAAAAGAGTCGTCATTTATCCGGTCTGTGCTGAACTCGAGCGTGTTGGCTGTCAGAGTCAGTCACCATGAAAGCTGGCAGGGACGCTAGCACGGGGCATTCAGATCTTCACGTCTGCCTCCAGCCAGGCAAGGGTTGCAGAACAAAGGGCTACAGAGGCGCTCCAGGGCAGATGAACGAAAATTAATCAGTGAATGAAATCTTTATTCTTATTTTATTTTTATTAATTTTTGTTTGAGACAGTTTCATGCTGTCACCCAGGCTAGAGTTCAGTGGCGAGTTCTCGGCTCACTGTAACCTCTGCCTCCTGAGTTCAAGCAATTCTCCTGTCTCAGCCTCCCTAGTAGGTGGGATTGCAGGCACCCGCCCCCGCCGCCCCCCGCCAGCTAATATTTTACTTTTAGTAGAGATGGGATTTTGCCATGTGGGCCAGGCTGGTCTTGAACTCCTGGCCTCAAGTAATCTGCCCGCCTCAGCCTCCAAAGTGGTGGGGTTACAGGCGTGAGCCCCAATGCCTGGCTTTTTTTTTTTTTTTTTTTTTGAGATAGTCTCACTCTGTCACCCAGGCTGGAGTGCAGTGGCACAATCTCGGCTCACTATAACCGCCACCTCCTGGGTTCAAGCAATTCTCCTGCCTCAGCCTCCTGAGTAGCTGGAATTACAGCTCTGCACCACCACGCCCAGCTAATTTTTGTATTTTTAGTAGAGATGGGGTTTCACCATGTTGGTCAGGCTGGTCTTGAACTCCTGACCTCGTGATCTGCCTGCCTTGGCCTCCCAAAGTGCTGGGATTCTAGGCGTGAGCCACCGCGCTGGGCCCTAGTTTTTTGTTTTTAATTACTTTTATTTATTTATTTATTTATTTATTTAGAGACAGAGTCTTACTCTGTTGCCCAGGCTGGAGTACAGTGGCAGGATCTTGGCTTACTGTAACCTCTGCCTCCCAGGTTCAAATGGTTCTTGTGACTCAGCCTCCTGAGTAGCTGGGATTACAGGCATGTGTCACCATGCCCGGCTATTTTGTGTATTTTTAGTAGAGACGAGGTTTTACCATGTTGCCCAGGCTGATCTCAAGCTCCTGACGTCAAGTAATCTGCCTGCCTCGGCCTCCCACAGTGCTGGGATTACAGGCAGAGCCACAGGTCCTGGCCTTGTTTCTAAATTTTTTTTTTGTAGAGACAGGGTCTTGTTATGTCGCCCAGGCTGGTCTCAAACTCTAGGGCTTAAGTGGTCCTCCTGCCTCCTAAAGTGTTGGAATTATGGGCATGAGCTACCATGCCAAGCTCAGATCTTTATTTTAAAGGTAAAATAGAAAATATTTTGATAAATTTCTAGCATAAAGTTGGTTGCGGATCACACCTATAATCCCAGCAGTTTGGGAGGCCTAGGCAGGAGGATTGCTTGAGCCCAAGAGTTCGAGACCAGCCTGGGCAACATGGTGAAACCACATCTCTACAGAAAGTTTAAAATTAGCCAGATGTGTTGGCTATAGTCCCAGTGACTTGGAAGGCTGAGGCAGGAGGATCAATTGAGCCTGGGAGGTTGAGGCTGCAGTGAGCTGTGATTGTGCCACCACTGCACCCCAGCCTGAGAGACAAGGGAAGACCCTGTTTCCAAAATATAAGTATAAAAATACATATATATATATATATATAGTGTGAGGTGAAAACAGAAAGTATACTGGGTAGAAAATTGTCCAAGGAATTAAATTGCGTTTTCTAGAGCACTCCAGACATTTCCTCAGTGAAAAGCCATTGCATAGGGCCCCGTTCTGAGTGTCTTCCAATAGAGGGAACCTGAATGTTCTCAGGGTGAAAAAACCACCAGGTTAAAATGCGCATCCCGCTGGCAGGCCCTTGCCCTGGTTCCTGGGATCCCTGGCGTGGGTCCTGGCAGCTGGACCGGGGCGTGGGGGGGATTTGCCTACGCAGCTGCAGGACATGTGCACTTAGTAGACCAGCAGACCTCTGAGCCGGGCGTGGGGCTGTGCGAGGACGCTGTTCTGTGCAGTCAGGCCATGGGGTCATGAGAGTTGTCCAGATCCCAGGAGGAAGTGAGGAGGCTGCTGGGGCCTGGAGGGAGAGGCTGGCCGCCCAGCCTGTGGCAGATCCTGTAGCAGGGAGGGCTGGCCCAGGCCTCTGTGGTCTGCCAGTCTGTGCTGTCTGAAAGCCACAGAGTTGTGGGGGTGGGGACCAGGATGTGGGGCCAGGGGTGGGCTGGCTGGGAAGGTCCTCTGTGCCTAGGAGGCAGGCAGTGTTGAGGATTGAGCCTCAGGGATGCTGTGTGGCTGGAGATACAGCAGGGCTGCTTTCCAGGGAGGGTGCCCTGACCCGAGTGCAACTCTGGAATCTTCAGGTGTGTGGGGTCTGTGGGTCGGGGCCGTCAGACTCGAGTTCAGAGCCTCCGTGTGGCTTTGAGCCTCAAGGAGGTGGCAGTAGAGGTGCCCCTCACAGGCGGCCGAGGACAGGGCCTGCTGTTCTCAGTAGAAATGAACACAGAGGCGGCCTGAGGTCCTGTCCCTGGGCTGACTGCAGATGCGCTCCCGTTTTGGTTTGCTGGAGGTGGCTAGTTTGGTTTGGTGGTTTGGTGGTTCGGTTTCCTGGCCTGCATACATCACTAAAGGTGTCTCAGGAACATTCTGTGGCAGCCTGTGGGGCCCTTGTGTGAGCAGGACTGGCACTGGGGGATGACGGGGCATCCTAGGTCCTGGTTTATCTTCCCTGCTCCCAGTGGCTGCTGTCTGTGCCCCTTGGCTTCCCCAGTGTGATGTTCTTGCCTCAGTTTCCCCAGCGTGACTCCCCACCTCAGCTTCCTCAGCATGATGTCCTTGCCTTAGTTTCCCCAGCATGACATCTCCACCTTGGCTTCCCCAGTGTGATGTCCCCGTCTGCCATCCTGTCCAGCAGCCAAGAGCTCCTCTGGGCTCAGCCAGGTCTGCTGATTTGCAGTCACATCCTGTCTCGGGTGCAGCCTGGAGCTTCAGGGGTGTGACGCCTTGGGGGTCTTGGCACCAGCCTCTTGGAAACACCCTCTGGAGCCCCGCCTGGGCAGCACTGCGTGGCCTCGCCGTGTCTCCTGTCCGGGGCCATTTCATTAATACTGTGTTTGCGGAGATTCTGTCTCTCGTCTTTGGAGCCCCCCTCCCTGTACAGGCGAGCTTCTTTCTTTCTTCCCCTTTTTTCTTGCCTATTAAACCGCCTTTTAAAACTGAAAGAAAAAGAAAAAACTGTTTGTTGTGATGTGGAAGCGGGGTTGCCCTGGGACCCCTGTGGTGTGTGGGGGGTGTTGATCCCTGGGGCTTCGAGGGTCCCCTCGGGGCTGGGTGTGTTGCCCGGGCCTGATCCGAGCCCTCCTTCTGCCGCAGCTTTCCGGGCCCTCCTGCAGATCCGGGCGGTGCGGAAGAAGCCAGGAGCCCTGTCCCCCGTGTCCTTCAGCCCTGTCCTGGCCCAGAGCCTGGAGCACGATGAGCACTCTGTAAGTGCCGCCTCCTGCCTGCGGGATGGGCGGGCGCGAGAGGGGCGTGAGTGCCTGGGCCAGGCGCGAGGCCCAGACGGTCCAGCCAGCAGCCCCGTGTTCTCCTCTGTCCAGGGAGCAGGCTTGGCCCCCATGGGTGACCGTGAGGCATGAAGGGGGTGGCCAGGCTGGGCCCTGGGATGCCGCTGCTGGGAAGAGTGCTGCTGCCGTCAGTACCCAGAGCCTGCGACAGGGCTGAGCGCAGTCGAGGTCTCCAGGTGCTTTTTTTTTTTTTTCTTTTTAAGGCAGGATCTCGCTCTGTCACCGAGGCTGGTGTGCGCCCAAGGTGGTGCAATCTCAGCTCACTGCAGCCTCGACCTCCCAGCCTCAAGCGATTCTCCCACTTCAGCCTCCCAAGATGCTGTGACCACAGGCGTGCACCACCATGCCCAGCTCATGTTTTGTATTTTTAGTAAGATGGGGTTTCCCCATGTTGCCCAGGCTGGTCTCAAACTCTTGGGCTCAAGTGCTGGTCCTGCCTCAGCCTCCCAAAGTGCTGGGATTACAGGCCTGAGCCACTGCCGCTAGCCCGTGGTTCTTAGTGAATGAGCCGTGCTCTTTCCCTCATGAGTTGCTGTGCAAGGGGCGCTGGTGACCCTCCTCCCACGCTCCAGGCCCTCTAGGCTCCCTCACCGGGGACCTTAAGGGCAGACCCTGCTTCAGCCACACAAGGAGGTGGAACCCTGGCTTCAAGTACCCAAGGAGAGAGGCAGAGACATGGAGAGAGATGCACAGAGAAACACAGGGACGGGGGGAGAGAGAGGTAGAGAGACACAGGGAGAGACAGAGACAAGTATGGAGAGACACACACAGGGCAAGAGAGATGTGGAGAGACACAGGGAGAGAGACAGATGTGGAGAGACACAGGGTGAGACAGATGTGGAGAGACACAGGGAGAGACAGAGACGGGGATGGGTGGCAGGGGCTCTGGTGGGCGGGGAGCAGAATGGGGGAGTTGGACAGTGACTGGCTGGGCCTGGGTCTCAGGCCCACTGCTCCCCACTGGCCACGTGCATTGTCAGATTGAGTCCCTTTCTTGGCTCTTAGCTGCAGCTGTTTGGAGCCGTTGGTTCTTCCAGGCCTGCTGCCTCTCTAAACAGAAAAGAGGAGCAGAGCCCCGAGGACTGGCGTTCACAGACACCGCCTTTGCTCTTGAAGGCTTCTCGCAAGCTCCCTTGATCAGGGCCTTGACCTGGGCCCCGTGGGCCTCCCTGGCAGTAGGTGCAATGTTTCTGAAATGGGGCCAATGTTTAAAAGTCTGGAATTTCCCTTAAAATCCAGATTTTGGGATTGTCTTTTAAAATCTGACATGGTCTTGAAGCTAGAGGAGAAACATGGCTTGGGGGTCCCTGTCAACCCGGGTGCGCTAGGTCCCTGCCATCGAGGGCTCCTGGGACTATGCCCTCCGCACTTGTGATGTTGACTTTGATTTGGAAACGCTGTGTGCGCTCAGGTTTTTGGTGGCAAGAGAAGCAGCCCCTGAGGGATTTGCCTCTGAGAGAGTATCCTCTCTCAGGCAGGGAGAGATGGATGCTCAGGCATGGCTAGCTTTATTGTCACTTGTTTTTGCCCCTCTCCGTTTGTGTCCTGGTGGCTGAGGGCCCAGTAGGTCCCTCTGTGTTTGTCCCTCTTAGGCTGAGCTGAGATTCCCCTACAGTGCAGGGCGGCTGGGGTCCGAGGTGTGACCAGGCAGCTCTGACCTCCAGCCACCCAGGGAGCCGTCCTCCCCTCTGCACGGAGTGAAAGCAAATGCTCCTCGTCACCTGCCAGGTTCCTGTCGGAGCCGCTTCCACATAGTGCCAGAAAGAGCCACCACGGGCGTTCTGTCCAGCGAGTCCCTAAAGATGATGGTGGGTGGGTGGGTCTGGGGCTGACTCTTCTCCCCAGTCCTCTTGAGGGGTTTGTCATTGTGATGAGTTAGCACCAGTGCCTGGGCACTGGCTGGGGGACTTTGACCGCAGTGGCTTCAGGATCCCTGCCCTGCACCCACCCCGCATTAGGGAGCGTCCAGCTGCCCTCACGTCCACCTTGGCCCAATCTGCTGCCCAGGTGACCCAGACTGTGAGGGGCCACAGGCACTGGGGGTGAGATTGGGCTCCACAGCCTCCCCACTCCAGCAGCACAGCTCCTGGGAGCTCCCGAGATGCACACATGGCCCGCCCAAGGCCCGAGTCAGAACCCACACTTAGGACGTTCCCAAGATTCACGTCCACTGGAAGCTTTTGAAGTTCTGGGCCGCGGTGTGGCGAGAGGACAGCCAGCCAGAGAGACCTGTCCAGCCCACTCCAGGGCCGCGTGGGGGTGGTGGTTGTAAAACATTTGATTTTTATCTTGACAGTGTCCCTTTAAAAAATCAAAGCCGCACCCCGCCTCCCTGACCAGCAAGAAACCTAAAAGGGAAACAGTAAGTGTCTGGTCCTCCGGCTGCGTTTTTTTGCCCTGCCCTCATTTTTAAGTCCATGACAAGTAGGGGAGATGGTTTCCGCCCCAGGCTAGTGTCTGATTCGTGTAACCCATCCGCTCCGCTCTCCCGGTCACGGCCTCCCTGCTCAGGGAGTTTGTGGAACCAGAAAAGCTCTCGGTCTGTGGGCGAAATGCCAGGCTCGCTGGCCCCGCCGCCCTCCCCTCAGCTTTGCCTCCGCCCCGCGTGGCCCCCGTGCCGTTTCCCTTTTTTTTCTTGCTGGCAGTGGAATGGACGTTGCAGGCGGAACTAACGTCGCTGCTGCGTTTTGCAATCGCGCCCCACGCATGCTTCTCGGCCCTGCGTCCCACTCCTTCACCCTGCGGGTTCGAGCTCTTTGGGCTGAGGACTTTGGTTTTCTTGGGCTGTCCCTGTGCCCCAGGGAGCAGGCAGGGAGACCAGCACATGACTACCTGGAGCCTCCGTTGCCCAGGCAGACCCAGCCGAAACCTTGCGGGCCTTGGTGTAGAGAGGTGGAGGCCTCTCCGGAACCACCCAGAGCGCATTTGCCTTTCTAAAGGGGTGAGGGGCTTCTGTGTAGTTATTTATCTTTAACTTGGAGGCAGGTACGGGAGCAAATGTGGGGGACATAGAGGTCCAGAAAAGCATCCCAGGCTCAGGGCCTGGGCCATGCCCACTCCCCGATTTCTCCCCCAACTCCCCGTGGTCCCCAGGCACCCCCCTCCACCCATTTCACCTTCCCTTCCAGGAGCTCGGTCAGGCAGGCCCGGCTGTCCTGAAGGGAGCAGTGACTAGCGGTTTGCCCCTCAACCTGGTTTTGTGGGGACAGAGCAGGGGCCCCTGCAGTCTGACTTCCGTTCCCCAGAACCTGAGCATTTTCCTTCTTTCTCAGCCTTGTCGATTCTGCTCCCAATGAGGCGAGAACAGTGACTCTTAGCCACGGCACCCATTAGAATTGCCTGGAGGAGGCCAGCCCCCAGAGGCCCGGGCGGGGCACAGCTCCCGACAGCTCAGCTTTCCCTGGTCCAGGACACCCCGACCGTGTCTCTCGCCTCTGGCATGGCTTTGCTCTGCCCCTGCTCCCAGCTCCTGTCTGTCACTAACCCTTCACTCTCCACCTGTGGCCAGGCGGGACTGAAAGCCAAGGAGGGGCTGGTTGAGGCCAGGGCTGGGGCGGCTCTTGGCAGATGCCCTCGTGCCCATCATCCAGGGCACCAGCATGGGCGTTTGGGCATCCGGCCCCGTGCTGGAGCTGATGGCTGAGGCAGGGAGTGCGTCAGTGCTGCCAGGGAGCTCTTGGCCACCCTCTGAGGATGGGGGAGTCTAAATCCCCCAAAGGACAGAGTGGACAGGAGGTCATCAGGAGGAGGGTCTGGGGAGCAGGTGGTCCCTGGGCATGAGCCCCCTCACGCACCCTGTCCCTACAGAGCTCTGACAGCGTCCCACCTGGCTACGAGCCCATCTCGCTGCTTGAGGCGCTCAACGGCCTCCGGGCTGTCTCCCCGGCCATCCCCTCGGCCCCTCTTTATGAAGAAATCACCTATTCAGGCATCTCGGACGGCCTGTCCCAAGCCAGCTGTCCGCTCGCCGCTATTGACCACATCCTGGACAGCAGCCGCCAGAAGGGCAGGCCGCAGAGCAAGGCCCCCGACAGGTGAGCGGCAGCAAGGCTGGGTGCATGGCGGGGGGTGGTGCCACGTGTGTGGAGCAGGCGTATTTGTGGTTTCAAATCACTTTATGATGTGTTCCTTGTGGTGATCCCCCAGAAGGACTCAGAGACCCCACATCAGGTTAGACTCGTGGATAAAGTTTCTTACAGCAAAGAACGCAACAGACGAGGCAGGAAGGGCGTCCGGGCAGCCGGAGGCTTTGACCCCCCCACCGGGGCTACACCGGCGTGCAGGCGCATACACACTGTCGAGCGGGAAACTGCAGGGGTCAGTGCTGTGTCTCTACTGAGGGGAGCCCCTTTGAGCCTCTGGGTTCCCGGACTTCACTGGGGGACTGGCCACATAGGCCCACTCTGCGGATGACTAGCCAGGGCATCCGAAACTCGGGACCTGACAGTGACCCAGGCACACTCACTGTTCTTGCCGTTCGCCCGTGACAAGCCACGGGGCGTGGCTCTCCAGGCGATGATTGGATCATCCGTCACTCATACGACAGACTTCCGAGGGCCCGGCTCCTGGGGTTGGCCACGGCTCATTTGTGGTTCTCCTGGAGCCTCGAGGTGTCTAGAGCGGCGGCTGCCAGGGGAACTCCGTGCCTCAGGCCTGTCGGTTCTCGTAGAAGAGTTTCAGGAAGGCGGGGTTCTGCAGGGCCGTCCTGGGCACCCTCCATGCCCACGAGGAGGCAGCGCCAAAGCTCAGAGGAAAGGGGGCCTCTGTCCCTGCTGCTTCTCCCCGGGAACCACCAGCGGTTTCTCCTCCTTCAGAAAGAAAAGGAAACCCAGGCCTGTGCCAGTGTGTGGGAGCCCTCTGTCAGGCGGGTCTGTGGGGTCTGCTGCTGCCTGTTGGCCGTTGGGGTTGGCCCCCGTGGCTGGTGATGCCCTTCTCCAGGCAGTGCCCTTGTGTGGGTTCTGGCAGGTGTGTGCAGGCCCCCAGGTGCCCTGCGTGGCTTTGGTAGGGTTAGCCTTCCTTGTTGCTGTCCTCTCACCCCTGCCCACCCTCCTTTGTCCCCAGCACCTTGCGGTCCCCGTCTTCCCCCATCCATGAAGAGGATGAGGAGAAGCTCTCTGAGGACGTGGACGCCCCTCCCCCACTGGGTGGTGCAGAACTGGCCCTGCGGGAAAGCAGCTCCCCTGAGGTGAGGCCCCCCAGGGAAGCTTTGTGTGCCCGCCCTGGCCAGCCCTCCTCCAGCTTCTGTCGCCGGAATCAGACCCCATCCCACTGCCCGCCTGGGCACTCCCGCACTTCTAGGCCCTTGCTGAGCTGCGTGGCTCCTTAGCCTCGGTCTGTGGATGCAGCAGCCCCGGTGGAGCGGCTCTGTGGGTCCCGGGAGGGCCATACCTGATGGCGGCTTGTCCTGGAGGGGTGGCCGAGGCTCTCTCCGAGCTCCAGGCCACTTTACGCTTTGTTTTCTAGAGTTTCATAACAGAAGAGGTTGATGAGTCGTCGTCACCAAAGCAAGGTGAGCCCCTCCTTCCGTGGGTACAAACCGCATGCAAGGACCAGGCAGCCCTGGCTCACTGGGGTCTTAGGGCTCCAGGTGGCGTTGGCCCAGCACCTCTTCTGCCCCAGGAACCCTTGGCCAAGAGGCCTCTCTCGGCGGCATTGGGATCCCGGCTGGGAGGGACCGAACGGGTGACAGGGTCAGGCCGCGCTGTTCACCCTGCAGGGCCGTCTGCCTGGGATGGGGAACACCTGCCAGCGTTCAGTCCTTGTTTTGAAACATGAATGTGTGATGTTTCTATGATCAAAACAAAAAAGCCTCATGCTCTGAACACCCGGGACACAGTGTGAAAAAGGGGAAAAAAAGCCCCGTGCGGGGGATGGGAAGGAGGGAAATAGACGGGAAACACCTGGCTTTGGGGTCCCTGGAGAGCAGGTGGGGTCACGGTGGAGTCCTGCTGGAGCCCAAGCCTGGGGCCCCCACAGTGACTACAAAGCTCTTGGGTAAGAGAGACGGCCCTGGGCCTCCTGCCCGGAGGGACCTGCCGGGGCCTGGCCCCTGCCTGTAGATCCCTGACCTCGCCCTCCACCTTCAGGGACCCGAGCGCCTTCCATTGAGAACGTCCTGCAGGACAGCAGCCCTGAGCGCTGTGGCCGAGGCCCACCTGCTGACATCTACCTGCCAGGTAAAGGGACTGGGCTCTGGGGGTGGGGGGCTGGGTGCCTGTCTCAGTGTCCGGGGAGGGGGCCCTGCTCTGATGGTCGGTGCATAGCAGCAAGGGCTGGTCCATGGGAGCCCGGTTCTCTCCCTGGCTCTAAGCCATGCCCCTGCTATTGACCCTGAAGCAGGATGCGGGCCAGGGCCACGGCCGCAAGGCAGCCTCGTGCAGGGCCTGGCTCTTCCCTGCCCGGGGCCACCTTGGCCACAGGAGGCGAGAGAGGCTGCCTGTGAGAGGCTGGGGTCCTTTTCCCTCTGCCTCCTGCTCCCTGCCAGGAGGGCAGATCCAGCCCCTCTGGGATCACCACATCTTCCCCCACCCCTGGTCGTATCAGGCGTCCACAGGCCCCATGCTGGGTGCCAGGTGAGCTCCTGGCAGTGCCTGAGAGCTGCAGACAGAGCAGGAGCAGGTGCCACATGCTGTGCTGGGTAGCGGGGGCCCTGGGCCACAGAGAGCAGGGGCAGTGTCTTCTGGGTCACCCTGCCCCAGGCCTGACATAGGCCACCTGATGCAGCAGCACATCCCAGGCCAGGGCACAGAGGACAGGTGGGGGCACCAGGCGCCAGCGGGGGGCAGCAAGACTGGGAGAAAGGGTTCCTCTTTTCACCTTGTCCAGAGGCTTGGGCCCAGGCCCGGTCAGCTAAGCACCTTCGTGTTCTGCTCTGCTAGGATAAGATCCTCAGTTTCGCATCCTAAGCTCCAAAGACCGGGAGGGAAGTGGGGGCTCTCAGACTTGTGTCTCAGCGCCTGCCGCGAAGCTGTCTGTGGCTCTGAAACTGGGATGAACAGCTACAGCGGTGCGTTCAGACATGACCCCAGAGCCACTGCGTAGGGGCGGGGCGGGGCTCCTCCCTTGCGGCTGCCAGGCCTCTTCACCCCCTTCCTGGCCCCAGGGCCCACCATTGCTCAGTCCTCCTGAGTCACCCGGTGACCTGGGCCTGGCATTGGGTGGCTGTGACGTGCTTTAGTTGGAAAGGGGCTCTTGTGTCTCTGGACTCTGGCTGAGCAGTGGCCTGTGCTCACGGGCTGGGAATGACAGGCTACAGGAGCAGGCACTGCCTCTGGTGCCCTGACGGCCACAGCAGCCTGTCCCCAACAACTCACAGCACAAGGCGTGTTTAGGACCAGCTTACCTTAAAGTGACACAGAATTCAAGTAAGGTCTTTCAAAGGACCTCAGATATTTCATTCTGATGAAAAACTTGGGGGGTGATCGGGGAGGGGCCAGGAGAGGGACCTCAGCTTCTGGGAGCCACGAGCGTGACATCTGATCCTGCAGGGGCCCCGTGGGGCAGCACTCGGAGGCTGCGCCTCCCCTATGTGGCCAGGCCTGGGAAGGATGAGGACAGCCACTGCCGGCCCACACAGATGAGGCCAGGGCTCCGAGTCTCATGCCCCACTCCCAGGGGAGGGTCTCCGGCCTTCTGCAGGTCCACAGACGGGGGCAGGCAGCAGTCATCTGTGGAGGTGGCAGAGGAGAGGCCGAGTCTACATCGGGGCAGCCTGAGGTGAACTCCTGGGCCCCGGGCCCCCTCTTGGAGTCGGCTGCTGCTGAATGCCAGCAGGTCAGCCGGACGGCCTCAGTTCTGAGCCACGGAGAGCGCATCTGCCTTTGGGGGCCATGTGGCGCCATCTCCATGGCTGTCAGCCTTGTCAGCACAGGTTTCTGTGTGTTTTTCAATCCATGTGGTGGCCCCTCTGTTCCAATGGCTTTTTCACTTGTCAGAGCCCTGGACTGTCTCCGTGTCTGTGTGTAAGGCATGATCACACGCAGGAGCCTGTGGTTTCTCATAGGGGTGCAGCCGCTGCCTGGCGGGGTGGGCAGCCTCAGTGAACCCTGGTGTCCCTGTAGATGGGAGGGCCCCTGAGATGGTGAACCCCGGGGCCCTGGTGTCCTGGAGTTTCCCTGGGCTCAGTCCTGTCCGGCCCCGGCCCCCCACCCAGGGCCTTCACGCCTGAAACCAGAGGTGGACTTCGCCCGCCAGCTCCTTCACGCGCCCTTCCCCAGGCTGCGGCGGCGGGAGCTGCGGGAGGGAGGGGCAGGGCCAGTGCGCTCCTCCGCATTGAAATCTGGCCGCGCTCTGCCTCCCAGCTGTGGTTCTCCTTCTGGGTTCTCTGTGGTTGCAGCAGAGCATTTGTTTCTAGACGGCCTTGACCCCGTCCCCAAGCTGGTGCCCTTGCTGTGGCTGTGCCGGCTGCTGCGCGCTTGCTAACCGAGCTTCCGTCTGTCTCTCCTCCTCTCCGCGCAGCCCTGGGGCCCGACTCCTGCTCTGTTGGTATAGACGAGTAAGCCGGTACGTGACCTTCCAGACGCGCTTCGGGGGCTCTGACGCGCGTCCTTGGAGAGAGGAGCCTCCCCTGCTCTCTGGCGGGGTTCCTTCTGGTTTGCGGGTCTTCGTCCGCATCCGTCTTCCCAGGGGCCCTGGATTCCGAATCCAGAGCTCTCCAGTGGCTGCTGCACCCCCAAAAGTCGGGGGGTCCCGACTTTTGGGGCCAGAGGTCTCTCCATCTGGACTAGGCGGCCAGTCAGGCTCTTCTTCCAGCCTTGAGGGGCCCTGGAACAGTCCCAGCCCAGGCAGGGAGACAGACCCAGCCCCAGCCCAGGCGCGCCAGAGCCACTGTCCCCTGCAGGAGGCAGGAGCTTGAAGGATCAGGGCAGCACCGTGGAGGGAACCCCAGGGAGATGTGGGGCGACGTGTCCCGAGGGGAGAGCCCCAGGCCTGGGTCTGGCCTTGTTCCCGGTGGTCCCACCATGAGTTCCCATGGGTCCTGCAGCAGATGCGTTAGGGCGCTCGGCAGGTCCTCTCCCGTGTTCTGGTCATGGCTTTAAGTCACAACTCATGGGGAAAAGAATGCGCCCCAGATTGGGAGAGCCCCTGTGTCACCTGTTTCCAAGCTCAGTCCCCGTCTCTTGGAGGGAGTCTGTCCTTGAGGGGCCCTCTGGTGCCCAGGGCATAGTATCTTGTATCCTGTCCTGAGGGCGTCCGCTCACACAGCCACCTGCTCCCTCCTTCCCTTGTCAGCATGGCCTCCGTGGGCCTGGCGTCACCGTGGGCCTGGCAGAGAGTCCCTTGTGGGCTGCCTTTGTGCCATGAGCTGCCGACTCACTTGTCCCTCCCAGTACTGGAACCTTCTGGAACACCAGCACTTAGTGATGGAAGGCCCTGTGAGGCTGGCACTCCCCATTCTCCCCCCAAGAGGCCCTCCCCATCCCCCACAAGAGGTGCCCTCTACCAGGGTGGCCAGGTGAATGTTTTACAGAAGGCCGCTCTGGCCAGGCAGTGGTTCACACCTGGAATTCCAGTACTTTGGGAGACCAAGGGGATAGATCACTTGAGCCCAGGAATTCAAGATCAGTGTGGGAAACACAGACCCCCTCTCTATAAAAAATAAAAAGTTGGCTTGGGCGTGGTAGCTTGTGCCTGTGGTCCCAGCTACTCTGGGGGCTGAGGTGGGAGGATCGCCTGAGCTGGGGAGGTCAAGGCCCACTCCAGCCTGAGACCTGTCTCAAGAAAAAAACACACACACACACACACCCATCCCAGCTTGAGACTATGTCTCAAGAAAAAATACACACACACACACACACACACGCGCACGCACACGGGGGAGAGAGAAGGCAGCTCCAAGAGTGCTAGCAAAATGTAGGCAGATGGATTGGTGACCCTCTGCCTTCCCGAAGGGTCTTGGCACACAGGCTGCGTGCAGCTCTGGTCTGCCGAGGCCTGTGCAGCCTGCTAGGAAGTGCCTGGCAGGGGGGTCCAGGCTCTAAGAGGCCCTTTCCCCTTGGTGGACTTGAGCCAGGCCAGGGAGAACTTTGCTGCTTTTGACTGCGCTCTGCATTCCCACGAACCTCTGTCTTCTTGAGCCCAGCCAGTCCCTCTGTTGACCCCTCTCCCGAGCCCTCATAGCCCTAGATTGAGTTGACCCCTCTCCCGAGCCATCATAGCCCTAGATTGAGTTGACCCCTCTCCCGAGCCATCATAGCCCTAGATTGAGTTGACCCCTCTCCCGAGCCATCATAGCCCTAGATTGAAACGACACTCAGCACCTTTCACAGGGGCCCGGCCAGCGCGTCGGTGGAAGGTGCTATGTGAATGTTACCATTCAGGTCAAGCTTCCAGAGGCGGGAGTGCCGGTGTGTTCTAGAACAGGGCTCAGAGCCTCGGAACCCTGCTCTCGTCGCAGTCCCCGAAAAAAATAGCCGTCTTTCACCTGAGAGGGGGCCTGAGCCCTGTCTACTGGGAGCCATGCGTCAGGGCTGGCGGCTGGGTATCGGGCAGCCCTGAGGCCATGCTGGCCCCGTCCCAGGCTCCGCACCAGCACTGTTGCCCAAGCCCCAGGGACGCCAGACCTATTCGGGGACAGCGCCTGGTGGCATCGTGCAGGCCAGTCTGGGTATTGGGGCTCTGTGGGAGGCTCCTCTCTCTGCCTTGCAGTAGCCACCTGGGGCCCACTCTGAGCACAGGCTTGTTCTCATCCAGGGCTGTTCCCCACCCCTGCACCCTAGGCTGACTGAGTTCCACTAACCCAGCCAAAGGACCTTGGCAGGACAGCGGCTGTTACATCCCAGGAAACTAACCAGCGCAAGGGCAGGAGACCCAGAGGGCAGCAGCCACGGTGCTGTGTCGCATTCTGACACGGGGCTGCAGCTCTGCTGCTGGTGTCGGGGGAGGTGGGGTCGTCTGTCCTGAGAGGGACACAGCGTATTTGGCACAGCCGGGGAGTCCTCCGGCCCTCGGTGTGCTCTCATCTGAGTGAATCTGCTGTTCTGGCCACGGGCGGCAGGAGTGGGGGTGCCGGATGGCCCAGCCCCTTGGGGGGGCTCCAGATGGGTAGGAGCGGGTGGCGCGGGACCAAGCATCTGAGTGTGACCCTCCTCCCCTCCCTCTGCTCCCACCTGCAGGATGGCCCACCTCCATGGAGATGGCCCACGGCCTCGGCACCACCAGCCCCACCTGGCCTCCACTTGGTGGCCCCAGCCCCGATCCCAGCACCGCCGAGCTGACCCCACTCTGAGAGCCTGGCCGAACTGGCAGCATGGAGTCCTCAGCTCCCCAGACTTTGCCGAGGGGCTGCCCCGGACCCCGGTGTTAGCCGGCCTCTCCTGTCTGCATGCCCCCTGTGGCCACCAGGCTCCAAGGGGCCATGGTGACCCTTGATCAAAGAGCACAGTGGACTGTTCCCTCCAAGTCTCCCTTTTCTACAGTTGATATATTTGTAACTGGTACAAGATGAAGGACAGCAGCTTTCCATCCCTCGTTCAGAGCCCTGGTTCCCCAGGGTCCCGCGGGCTGAGCGGCTGGGGCTGGGGCTGCCCACGTGCGGCCTGTGCTGGCTCTGCCTGCCCCCGCAACACTGGGGTCACTGCCCCAAGAACTCAGCAGACCTGCAGAAGAGATTTACCAGTGGTTGAAGCACTGTCTTCACAGATGTTCAGGGGCAGTGGGGGGCTCCAGGCACGGTCAATGAAGGAAACAGTGCCTGTCCGCCCACCCTGCGTCTCACTGTGGCGACCTGGCTGTCGCTGCTTTTTGTCCTCTGCCGTGTTTGCGTGGCCTCAGTGCCCTCTCTGGTGCGTCTCCGCTGGGGCCCTCAGTGCTCGGGGCCTGGGGTGCACGGGTGCCGCCCTGGGCAGCTAATATGTCAGCCCGGTGCTGGGCCTGATCGAGGGGCGGAGACACAGCGGCTTCCAGCATCCAGTGACCTTGTCACCCAGCTCCATACCTTCTCATGGTGCTGGCTTTGGTGACATCACCAGGTCTTTCCAGGTGCGGGGGCTTCTGTTCGACAGGCTACTGCCAGGGAGGACCTGGCGGCCTCCTTGTTCCCCTTTGCCATTGGAATGTCCCCTTGCAGTTTTTTTTTTTTTTTTTTTTTTGCTGTCCAGGCTGGAGTGCAGTGGCGCTATCTTAGGTCACCGCAACCTCTGCTTCCCAGGTTCTAGTGATTGTCCTGCCTCAGTCTCCTGAGTAACTGGGATTACAGGCATGCACCACCACGCCCGGCTACTTTTTTTGTAGTTTTAGTAGAGAAGGGATTTCTCCATGTTGGTCAGGCTGGTCTCAAACTCCTGACCTCAGGTCATCCACCCGCCTTGGCCTCCCAAAGTGCTGGGATTACAGGCATGAGCCACTGCGCCTGGCCCCCTTGCAGATCTCTTTGATTTGGTTCTATAGCAGGCTTCTGTGGCAGGACTGGCTTGGGGAGGAGGGAGCCAGCAGCACACTGGGGAGTGGGGTCCCAGCTGGGAGGCTTGGCCTCTGGGCGACTTCATCCTGTTTTTTTTTTTGGTTTTTTTGTTTTGTTTTGTTTTGTTTTTTGTAAGGTAAAACTCCTGGGCAGCAGATGTGCAAAGGGAGAATGCCTGGGCCTGGTGACCCAGGGCTGGAGCTGTCCCAGTAGAACCCTGGGCCGGGAAGGTGTGTGCTGCTCCCTGGCCCCGGAGGGCTGCCCTGCAGCCGGGCCTGCGGATAGGACAGCCGTGGGGCAGCTCAGTGCCCTCCCCTGAGGCTCACGGTGGCTCTGAGCACAAGCTCTGCCTAGTGGGCACTTGAGGGAGACCCAGCAGTGGATAGCACGGTCCCCACACCCAGCTCCCTGCACACCCAGGCCAGCCACCCCTCCTGCTCGTGCACACGCACGCACATGCTCTCACCCATACACGCTCACACATGCACGCCCACTCGCACATGCTCACATGCTCACATGCACACGTTCACACATGCACACACGCTCACACATGCTCTCACCATACACGTACATACTCAATGCACATGTTCCCATGCATGTGTGTGTACTGGGACCGAGCATCTCCCACGCACCTCTCCCCACCCCATGCACCTCTCCCGCCCCACGCACCTCTCCCCGCCCCACGCACACACACACCCTGCACCAACCCCCCGACCAAAGCCCCAGCCTCTGGCCATCGGTCCTGGTGCCAGAGCTCTGCGTGAAGTTTGGGCCGCAGAGTGGCCCGCTGGGACTTCCATGTGCTGCCGTCTGATGTGTTCAGATGGGCTCACCGTTGGTTCGTTTTTACTGTATATTTATAGTAATAAAATCATGCAGCAATATCCTGTCTGCTCCTTCCTCTGGGTGCAGCCCTCGGGATTGTGGCTATTTCCTGACCCGGAGTTTTGCCGCTGGGTGGTTGGTGGTGGCTCCCACACCCTGGCAGCTCCATGGCCTCTGCCCGGCTTCCCTCCGGGGCAGTGAGCAAGGTGAGGGCTAATGAGAACGGGCAGCTCCCAGCCATCCCTGTCAGGGCTGGTTGTCTGGTTGGAGGGAAGCCACAGCCTCGAGGTTGGGCTGTCTCCTGAACAGGTGGTGCGGGAGCCCAGGGCCTCCAGCTGTGAGTTGTCGTTCTGTCCCCATCTCTAGCCCCAGCTATTTCAAGGCGTTTGCTAAGTACCTGCTGTGTGTCAGCGGAGGCGGAACAGTCGAACAGGCGAGGGCGAGGGCCTGGCCGCAGGCCCCTGCCTTGCAGGCAGTGAGGCGCCCAGCAGCTCATCAGAATCCTGCCAGCTGTGGTTACTATTAGGAAGAAAGCGAGCGTGGTGGTGAGACGAAACCGTACAAGGACTCGATTAACCGGGCGGCAGGGAGGGCCTCTCCGAGGAGACTTAAACAGCCCTGAGGGCTGAGGAGGAGCTGGCCCTGGAAGAATGTTCCAGGTGGCAGGAGTGAGCCTGGTGTGTCCCCTGGGGACAGCTCCTGGCTGGAGTGAAGGCTGCTGGATAGATACTGAAGAGCTTGTAGGGGCTGCTGGAGTGTTTTTATAAGGGGGAGTCAGAGTTTTAAGAACAGGTTTCCAAGCAGAGGAGCAGTGCTAGAGCCCTGTGGCTGGTGTGTGGAGCCTGGACGGCGGGAGCAGGTCTAGCCACCCATGGTTGTGGGCTTGCAGGCTGGAGCCCAGCCCCAGGCCTCTGCACGGCCCCTGCTCCCCGGCCCAGGGAGTGGCCAGTGCCCCAGGGCACCCACCACACCACCGCCTACCACTCAGGGCCCCAACTCCTTTGGCGCAGGTCAAGCTGCCACCATAGCCCTTCTTCGACTGAAGACTGTGAGGCTGGAGGGGAAGCCCACATTCTGGCCCATCAGTGCCTGCCCTGAGAAGGCTGCCACCCATGGACCCTGCAGCTGCTCTGACATGCCTGGGTCTGGCCCCATCCCAGTGTGGGTAGAGGGGTACCCAGGGTGTCAGACGGGTGCTTGCATGGGCCAGATTGGCTCCCCATCTACCTCCCAACAGACACAGTACTTTTTTTCATGTCTGGTCTTGGGGAGGAGCTGGAGCAAGGGGAGCCTCCCCTGCCGTGCGCCGGCGTCCCACAGGCCCTGGGCACTGGCAGGGCTTGGCTGCCTAGGGGTGGGGGCCCTCTTTGGGTGGGAGGACCCTTCCCCTTGCTGCCCTCTCGCCTTCTGACATGGTCGCTCACCCTGGAATCTGGACTTCCCCTGCTGCCTGCAGCTGTCCCATGTGGCCCCTGACCCACTGGTGGCCATAGGAGGAGACAGAGGTGCTCTCTCTGGGTTCTTACTCTCCACATCTGACACCACCATGGACCTAACAGGTGAGTTTCCAGTGCCCACCCTCTGCCTACCTCTCCTCCTGCTTGGCTCCACTCAAGGCAGCCTTCTCTGTGCCAGTGAGCTTGGCCTCACTGCACAGCTCTCCTGAGACTGTGCCCCAGCCCTGGGCACCCATGCTGTGAGTGCAGGCGGGTGGTTCATGTACTTAGCAAATCCATTCCCCCCGTGGGGAGGAAAGTGGCCTTGGGCCCTGTTGCTGGTGAGGTGAGCCTTGCCATCATGGAGTTCAGCGGACCTCGCTCTCTCGGCCTGTTTCTGATGTTTCTGAGCCTGAGACATCTCCAGGACAAACACAAGGTAAGTACCTCAGGCTCTTGTGGAATCGGGATCCTGTCTCTGTCACCAGCTGCTGGGTGTACTTAGGCAAGTTCTGTCCCTCTCTGAGCTCCAAGTTCCTTATCGTAAATTGGGGAAGCCCCTCTTCCCCCAACAGCACGGGGTGCCTGGCATGGAGGATGCTGGAAAGCTCCAGCCCCGGAATTTAAGTCACTTTCTGCTCAGCAAGCTGGGTCCACAGAGCCCCAGAGCTCCCAGTCGTCTGCCCTGACCCAGCGTGGACTCGGGGACTGGGGCGCTCAAGCCCTGCCTGGCCCTGCTTCCTGTGCTCTCCTGGATCGAGCCGGCCAGCAGGGTGGCTAGGTCGGGACTGCTGTCGTGCGTGGCAGGCGAAGGCCGTCGCCCTCCGGGCTCGGGTCTTGTGGCGCTGGCGGAGCAAGGCTCCGGGGCATTTCTGGCTTGTGTGGTCGTGCCAAGGGCGCCATTGCGGATGCACAGGGCCATGCGGGCCGGGTCCGCCTCCTGGGGAGAAACGGGTGAGCGCAAGGGGGATCGGCGCCATTGAGGGTGGAGAAACCGCAGGGGTTTTCGGCTGTCTGCTTTGGGGCGCCAAGGAAGATGTTCGTCGCCCACAGTGTGAACCTTGAGCCACCACCGCACCGACCAGTCGACTGGGCGATCCCGTCGGAGGCGGGGCCGCCGCCCGGGGTGTACGACTATTGGGTGACGGCTGACGCTCACCGCCTGCCTTTGCACACCGCTCGCTGCACCTCTCGACGACGCGCCGCGGCGCTGCGAGGGGCTCGGTCCCGGGGCGCGCCGGCGATTGGCGGGGGAACGGGACCCGGGGGTGCGGCCGCCCGCGGATTGGTGAGGTGCGGTGGGGGCGGGCTCGCGCATGCTCTTAAGTGGCAGCGACGGGGACGGGGTCAGTGCCAAGATGTCGACGGCGGCGGTTCCAGAGCTGAAGCAGATCAGCCGGGTGGAGGCGATGCGCCTGGGGCCGGGCTGGAGCCACTCGTGCCACGCCATGCTGTACGCCGCCAACCCTGGGCAGCTCTTCGGCCGCATCCCCATGCGCTTCTCGGTGCTGGTGAGGACGGGAGCGGGCGCGGGCGGGCTGGGGCGGGGGCGTCCGACGATCCCCCGGCTTTGACCCGCGCTCCCTTGCAGATGCAGATGCGTTTCGATGGGCTGCTGGGCTTCCCCGGGGGCTTCGTGGACCGGCGCTTCTGGTCGCTGGAGGACGGCCTGAACCGGGTGCTGGGCCTGGGCCTGGGCTGCCTGCGCCTCACCGAAGCCGACTACCTGAGCTCGCACCTGACCGAGGGCCCACACCGCGTCGTGGCGCACCTGTACGCACGGCAGCTGACGCTGGAGCAGCTGCACGCCGTGGAGATCAGCGCGGTGCACTCGCGCGACCACGGCCTGGAGGTGGGGCCGCCGCCCGGGCCCCGCCCCCCGCCCCGGGGTTTGGCTCTGGCCCCGTGGAAGGCACCGATGGGTAACACGTCTCCTGAGGGTCCCCTGGCCGGGCTGGGTCGGGTGTCGCTGTCTCCAGCAATGGGGTGGGGAGAGGGGTCTGGGGCTGGGGGGCCGGGAAAGGAGGGGCGGTGGTGGGGGCCGGGGCTGGGGCTCCCTCAGGGCTGTGTTACATCCGCCTTGCTGCTGCCATTGCCAATCCTGGGAGTGGGGAGTGGGATCGGTGGGGAGGAAGGGATGGGGGAGGAGCGGGGCTTGCTTGGAGAGTTGGGAAACTTGAGCACAGCGGGGGTCGTAAAACTTGGGAACCTCATGGGGGGCGTGAAGGCTCTTGGGATTTGTGTTTTGTGGTCTGGAAGGGTTGGACTCCAGGTGTTCAGGCTTCGTTGGGCGGACGGGAAGCATGGGGTGTGGACCCCGGGTGGTGGCCGAGGTACGAGGGGAAAGTGCATGGGGTCAGCCTCCACACTTGCTTGGGGAGGAGGGGGCTGCACTGCTCCAAGGGAGCTGGTTGGCTTCTGCCAGGTCCTGCCTGGGTCTCCCATTAAGTCCTTGGCAAAGCTGGCTGCTCGTACCCTGGCCTCCTAGCTTCCAGGCCCCTCCTGCCGGGGGTGCCATTGCGTGGCAGGCCTGGCCCCAACCCCTACCTCCTGTCTGCACAGGTGCTGGGCCTCGTGCGGGTCCCGCTGTACACCCAGAAGGACCGAGTCGGAGGCTTCCCCAACTTCCTGAGCAACGCCTTTGTGAGCACGGCTAAGTGCCAGCTCCTCTTTGCCCTCAAGGTGCTCAACATGATGCCTGAGGAGAAGCTGGCTGAGGCCCTGGCTGCGGCCACCGAGAAGCAGAAGAAGGCCCTGGAGAAGTTGCTCCCAGCCTCGTCCTGAGGGCTGCCTGGGCTGCTGGCACCCTCCCCTGGGCCGGAAGACTGGGAATTCCTGCCAAGTGTGGCTTCTAGAGTGTGTGTGTGTACCCCACTTCTGACTGCCTAGGGCAAAGGGGCATCCTGTCATCTCCACTGTCCCAAGCAGTCACTAGGTGGTGGCCGGGCCAGCTGGGACCCAGCCCATCCTCTCAGGCAGAGCAGGGTGGTCTGGGCACGCTGGGCCTGCCTCTCTAGCCTCAGGATGCTCTTGTTCATCCCAGGCTCAGACCCTCCTGTGTGTGTGTGTCTCATCCCGGCTGGTGGAGGCCCACAGGGACTGCGCACAGCTCCAGGGCCACTCGGAAGACGGGATGTGTGGGTGGAGGATGCCTCGTCTAGGTCAGCATTCCTGCCTCCTTCCTGAGCCAGCTCAGAGCCTGGGGGAGAGCCAACTTGGGGTAGGAAGTTAATACTGTTAATTTGGGTTGTTGTTGGATTTACTTTGCTAGATTTTCTCTTTCACCACGTGTGAACTGTGGGTGAGGTTTCAAAGTAGCTTCACCCCACGTGGCTTGGTTCCCAGGGACAGTCAGGGCCTCGGGGGCCCAGCTATGTACGACGAAGCTGTCGAAGGAGAAGACAATAAAGTCACTCCTCAGCTGCTCTGTGTGGTTCTCAACTACTCTGTGTGTTTCGGTTCTGGATGGAGCCAGCTCAGGCCTCCTGCCCTAGGGGGAGGGAGGAGCCGCCCCAGCCAGAGGCATGTTTGTCCCCAGTGCTGACTGGGGGCACTCCCAGCATAAGCGCTGTGCCCATCAGCCAGGTTGGGGTATCTGGGCTGAGACCTTCAGGGCAGGCTCCCCTTCCTGATCCTGATGGCCCTGGCTGCACCTGAGCTGACCTGCTTTGCAAACCCGCCCTACACCACCATCTGCAAGCAGCTCCAGGGGCTGGTGTAGCAGTGCAGGCTTACTGTGCAGAAGGACAGCAGCAGAGCCATCCCTCGTGGTCTCCTACAGCCTCACATCTGGAAAGACTCCAGTGGCATCGTCAGAAAATGTTCACAGCCCATGCCTGGCCTGGTGAGGGAGGTGGTGTTCCCAGCGCCATCTCAGCGCTCGGTGTGAGGGCAACATGTCGGGGGAGGCCCTGTCCTATGGCGGGCTGGGGATATATTCTTGGCTCACGAAGCCTTGTCTTGAGTCACGTGGGCTCCAGGAGCAAAGGCGCTCCTGAGCAGCAGGGGACAGGGCAGTCACGGTTGCTGCACTGGCCAGGGCCTCATGTCATGTGACCAGAACTGAGCCCTTCACTAGCTGTTCAGTTTTATTTTCCAACAAATGGCATTTTCCAGGCGCCCCAATCCTCACCCCTAAGGTCACACCTCAGTTGGCACCTGTGTGTGTGTATGGATATACTTTTCCCCCAGGGCCCTGCCTGGTCTGGGCCAGGGCAGCCCATGAACTCTGGGCCTCACCACCAGGTTCTCGGTGAGACCCTCGTCCCGCCTCAGTGCTGGCCCGAGCTGCTCGGCCAGGGCCGCAGCCCCTGTCTTGCCTCTGTCTGCCGGCTGCTCCCGGGGCCTGATCCTCTGGCCCCCACTGGGCCTGGGCTGCACGTGGCAGCTGCCTGCTTACTGTCCTCTTCACTCCCTGGCACACAGCTTCAGGGTGGACCAATCACCCAACGTCAGATTCTGAAAGAAAAAGCCCTGGTAAGAAGAGAGGGGGACAGGTGGGTGCGTACGCACACCTGCAGCTGCCCAGACAGGCCCTGCTGCTCCCGCCACGTGGGATGCAGGCTGGCAGACACTCACCGGCCCGCGGGCTAGGGCTCCCGCCACCTCTTCCCGTTCAGCACCTGCAGCTTCTCCAGGCTCTGGGTCACTGAGCACAGTGCTTGTCCTGAGGAACGATGACCTTGAGCCTCTCCCTCCCAGGCTTGGTAGAACTGGGTAGTGCTGCCCAGGGCTCTGAGCTGTAGGATGTGACCTGCCCCTCAGCCGTCATGGCCCCAGCCCCGAGGTCAGCCTTGGGGTAGAGGGACTCAAACTTGCTTTCCCTGGAAAGGGGTCCCTCTGCCTCCCTTGGAAACAAGGAGCTCTTAGTCTTTAGCAAAGTCTGGTCCCCAGAGACTCACCCATCTCGTGGACACGGTCCTCCAGGGCTCCCGAGAGCTCGGGGAGGCTCATGGCCTGCAGGGACACTTGCCATCCCTTGGCGTCTGTGGTGCAGGATGGAGTTAGCTGTGGGTCTGTGTCCCCACAGGCCCTACTTTATTCTGAGCCCATGCAACCAGGAGAAGCTGCTTGGATCAGAGCCTCCCCACCCGCCTGGCAGTGTCGAAGCGACCTCCTAGGGCCGAGGCTGGGGAGCCCTGTTGTGCCCTTCCTCCCACGGGCTAAGCAAACACTAGGAGGCCCGGGTCAGCCCAAGAGAAGACAAAGCTGTGCCGGTGGGGACCCAGGTCTGGGCCCTGGCTGGAGGCTGCCGAAGTCACTGGCGGTCTCAGCACAGCACAGGCAGCCATGGCACAGTGCCTCCCACCCCGGGGGTAGGCGGTTTTCCCGTCACAGGTGAGGAAGTGGGCTGGGGTGCCCAGGCCCCTCTCCTTGGACTCTGGGATCATGTGCGCACAGGGACCTGGAGAGTGGCTGCCGGCCAGAGAAGCAGGCCAAACCCACTGGGTCAAACCCCGCTTCAGGGCTCCCCGCTTTCTCCTCTGCCCAGTGCGGAGTCAGGCCGCTGCTCTTACCAGCTGCGGGGAGGCCTGGGCCCAGGGTGGCTGCACCAGGGGGATGGTCCCGCCTCACTCGGGATGACAGCTCAGCTTGACAGGCTCTACCAGACACAGGAACAAGTGCTGGTGAGGGCAGAGGCCTGGCCGCCGCAGAGCCCCCACCTCAGACCTTCAAGGGGAGGGAGGGGCTCTGCCCTGTCCCTGCAGCTGGCCTTCGTGAGCTGGCCCAGTGCCCCATGAAGCTGTGCTAAAGAGCAGGAGGGAGAGCGGTGCAGATTCCCGACCCCGACTGCTGCCTGGCTCTGCCTGCAGGAAGGAAGGGCCTGGATGAAATGGGGGGGTGGCTCCAGGCGCTGAAATCCACCTCTCAGTTACAAAATCAGGAGGAAAAGATGTCTGGGGGCCCAGGGGCCAGGCGGCTGACCACTGGACACCCAGCCCAGGCCAGCTCAGAGCCACTCACCGCAACTGGTCCAGGACAAGGGCAGCGTCCCGGGCCAGGGCCCACGTCTCCTGCAGGTGGGCCTGGAGGTCCTCGCGGGCACGGTCCTGCTCCAGCAGGCAGCTCTCCACCACGGCACGCAGCTCCTGCTCCTGGCACACCTGGCCCCGCATGGCCTCTACCTCCTCACAGCGCTGCAGGGGGGCGGGAGGCTGGGAGGTAGCCGGGCAAGCCAACTCCCTGGCCACAGCCCTGTCCTCTGCGGCCTCTCCCCTTGCACCCACCTGACCCCTCCACACAGCGCCCACCTTTATCTGTCAGAGATGGGGCCAACTCAGGGGTGTCGCCCTGCCCCCCATCCCCCACCCACAGCCACTCACCTTGTGCAGCTGGATGGCGAGCTCCTGCATCTCAGCCTCCAGCCGGTCGGCGTAGGCCAGCTCCAGGGCGTCCCCGGGCGGGCGGGCACTGCTGTGCCAGCGGGCAATGGCGGACGTCATTTTCCTCTTGGGCCCAAACAGCCTGCAGGGGGAACATGACCAGGACGTGCCTCAGCCTCCCAGGAGCGCTTTACATGAGCAGGAGTTTGCCCCAACCCCAGGCTGAGGGCCAGAGCAGCCCTTCTGGACGCACGTGATGCCGATTTCCTTCAGGTCACTCTCAGTGAGGGTCAGAAAGATGCGGAGGTCCACGTCCTGCTCCTCAAACACCTGCAGGTACTTCAGACACCCGATCTGCTCCAGCAGTGTGGCCAGGTCCTGGCAGGCACAGGGGACGGGTTGGGGGAGGTAGTGGCCGACGACAAAGCAGAGCCATTTTCCTCCGCTTGGAGCCCCACCGCTTCCCCAGGCTTAGCACCAAGACCGGGCCTGTGTGTAGCCCCCAGGCTGTCCCTTCCTACTCTGGTGCCTCAGGCAGGGCAGGACGTAGCAGGCAGGTGAGTCCTCACACTCTGGTTGGCCACCTGGGGACACTGTATGTTCACCACGAGAAACTGGCCGCCTCCTGCCTCACGTGCTGAGTTCTGTGAAGGGGCGATGGAGCTGCTGGTCTGGACAGTGCTTTGTACACAGAGAGCGCTGTTCTCTAATTCTAGTCTCCGTGTCCGACGTTCTGATTTCCACTCGTCTAAGCGCAGCTCTTCTCCGAGTTCACCTGCCTGCAGTTCACCGAGCGCCCTGGATGTGAGATCCGGGTTTCTGATCCACCTGAGATGGTCAGGCTGTGTCTTACCCGTCGTTTCTGCTTTTCTCTTCTTCTGCAATGCCACTGTGTGGACGCTGTCAGCGTGCTTCAGGGGGTCGTGGGTTTCTGTTCATTTTTTTCACTCTTTCTTTCTGTTCCTCAAGCGAGATGATCTCAGGTGACCTGTGTTCACAAGTTTTCTGATTCTTCTGCCTGCTCAATTCTGCTGTGAGCCCATCTAGTGATATTTTCCTTTTAGTTTACTTTTCAACTCCAGAAATCCTACTTTTGAGAGTTTATTGCTTTTAATGGAGAAACGAATGTTACTCTGCCATTTTCCTCAAGCTGTTTTCTGAAAGAAACATACTTAGGACACTACGCTGACCAGACTCCACTCGGTGTATGTTGAAGCGACTGAGGCGTGCGCCTGCTCACTGAGCCGGGGGCTGCAGGGAGAAGCCGGCATAGCAAGGCTCTACTGAACAGCACAGCCGGTGCTTTAACAAATAACCAGCCAGGCCGGGCGTGGCGGCTCATGCATGTAATCCCAGCACTTTGAGAGGCCAAGGCAGGCAGATCACAAGGTCAGGAGCCTGAGACCAGCCTGGCCAACACAGTGAAACCCCATCTCTACTAAAAATACAAAAAATTAGCCGGACATGGTGACACGTGCCTGTAATCCCAGCTACTTGGGAGGCTGAGGCAGGAGAATCACTTGAACCCGGGAGGCGGAGGTTGTAGTGAGCTGAGATCGCGCCACTGCACTCCAGCCCAATGACAGTGCGAGACTCCATCTCAAAGAAAAAAAAACAAATAACCCACCGGAGCTTCCCTCTGCCTCTCTTCTCCGTATCTCTTCTGACTGCACAGGGTAGGAGAACTCAGCAGACACAGGTGAGACAGCTGAGCTGTGAGTCACACCTGTCATCCCTAAGGTAATGCGTGGTCAGAGGGATCACAGCAAGGATGAGGATGGTGGCAGCTGTAACCATCACCAAGCACACACCGTGTGCGGTCCCTGTCTCTGCTTCAACCGCATCTCGTCAGACTCCTGCAGGCAGCTCTGAGGTCAGGTGTGTGTTTCTTCTCCCCAGGCTCAGGGAAGCCAACTCCAGTATGGAAAGCAGGGGGACAGGTCCTTGGAACAACGCAGAAGCCGTGCAGCTGGGCCGCCAGCCACGGAGCCGGCTGGGAGCCTGCAGAGCCCAACAGGCCATGGGGACGCCGCTGCCATTCTGTTCTCCAAGCAGCCTGGCACGTTATATACACAACACATGCCTCATAAGTCACAAAAAGTGCCGTCTCTGAGTGTAACCTCCAGTTTCACAAGCGGTCTTACCTGCGGTCCTGAGTAGGGGGCCCTCTGAGTCTGGGGGCTGGACTCAAGGGGAAAGTCTTCCCTGTCAGTCCCAGTGCGGGGAGGCCACTGGCTGTCAGGATTCTTGGTCTTCATGTAACTTTTAGCTTGTTTGCGAGCTGAGCTTTTACAGGCGTGGTCCGAGTCCTGCGGTGAGAGCCATGTATCTGAAGGCGCGCACAGACTGACTGGAGAGCCTTGGTGAAACCCCCCACCCGCCACACAGGGGCTTCCAGTGCGTTCACTGTCGTCTGAGAAGCCAGGCCCTGGACACAGCACGTCCCAGTGCGGCACACACGTGTAGCACGTGCTTGTTACAGACGTTCTCATCTTAAAGTAACTGGGGGATGTTAGGCATCCCAGCCAGGCACCGGCTATGGGAGAACGAGAAAGAATCCGCACCTCATTGCTCTCCACAGAAGCTTCGCTGCTGAGCCCCTGGGCTCTGGCTAGGCCCTCGCTGCTGCTGCTGCTCTGGACAGGCTCCAGGTTGGCACAGAAAGCATGTTCCTCTGAGGGCGGGAAGACAGGGCGTCCGCCTGCAGGCCTCACCGCGGTGCTGTGCATGGGCGTGCCCCGGGCTGAGCCACCTCCACCAGGGCACTCCTTGGGGCCTGCAGCGGTTGCTTCCTTATGTTTCAAGCTTCCTGCCTGTTCTAAACCCTCCCCTCTATACAGACGGGCAGGGCTTGTTTTTTGTTCACTGATAAATCCCAAGCACCCAGGGCAGTGCTTGGCGTATGGTGGGCACTATGTCAGCAGCTGCTGCACGGAGGTGCAGTTATAACAAGACATTCCTATTGGAGCCTGGGAAAGCCTCAGGGGGCTCCCAAGCAAGGAGCTAAACCTGTTGGTGTGGAGTGGCTCCCCCAAGCTGCACGGGGACGCTGGAACAGAAGCTTCTCCCATTCCTCACAAGAACCAGGGCTGCCCACGCCTCCCCTGTGCCTGTCCTCTGCTGGATGGCTGGGCTGTGTCCCAGCACCAAGCCCAGTGGATAAGTGGGGACGGGCACACAGGAGCTCCAGGACCTGCCTGAGCCGCGGGCTGGACAGGGGTGGGGGTGCACATACCCCGGCTGCTGCTGCTGCTGCTGCTCTCCACGTCCCGCTCGTTGATGGGGGAGGTGACGTCCCGGCAGCAGAGGCCCTCTTCTTCCAGGGGGTTCTCACCACTGCTGCTGAAGGTGACATAGCCCCGGGGAGGAGCCTGCTCTGTGTACAGAATAGAGCCCATAAGCCCAGGGAACTCCAAAGTGAAGCCGATCCTGGTTCCAGATGCCCCCACCGCCTCAGAGGCCAAGGCCCCGGATGGAGGCAGGCGACTTCCCGCTCATGACCTCACCTACTTGCCCCGCGACCTGGCATGGCTCTATCTGTGGTGTGTGGGTGGAGAAGTCGCTCTGAGGGTCAGTGAGTGGCCCAGACAAGTGTGTGGTGGGGCCAGGGCTGGCAGCCAGGTCAAGCCTGTGCCCTCTCCTTTGTACCGAGCAACCTCTTTTTCAAAGGGAAAACGTAGGAAATGGTAAGCTGTATGTACAGATGCCTGACCACAGAAAACTATACCACTAGTGTTCCTTTTAGCAGGAGGTATCTAATGACCTCACACAGACACCCGTCAACCAGGTGTCTTTATGTCCCTATGACCTTTAACCATAGGCTCTTAGCGGGCTCCTCGGGTCAGTCAACCCCAGCGAAAAAGAGATCTGGCTGAGCAGGAAGGAAAAAGGCCTTGGGCTAAAAATTAACAGCAATAATATGAAATTACCTAACTCTACCTTCCTCTAAAACCAAGCAGAAAAAGGGGCATGAGGCCGGGCACGGTGGCTCAAGCCTGTAATCCCAGCACTTTGGGAGGCCGAGACGGGCGGATCATGAGGTCAGGAGATCGAGACCATCCTGGCTAACATGGTGAAACCCCGTCTCTACTAAAAAAATACAAAAAACTAGCTGGGCGAGGTGGCGGGCGCCTGTAGTCCCAGCTACTCAGGAGGCTGAGAGGAGAATGGCGTAAACCCGGGAGGCAGAGCTTGCAGTGAGCCGAGATCCGGCCACTGCACTCCAGCCTGGGCGACAGAGCGAGACTCCGTCTCAAAAACAAAAAAAAAAGGGGGGGCATGCATACCAGACAATTTCACTCCAGTTTTGCCCCTTTATTTACATAAAAAGACTGACTTGACCAGGCACGGTGGCACACGTCTGTAATCTCAGCTACTCAGGAGGCTGAGACAGGAGGATCGCTTGAGCTCAGGAATTGGAGCCTGCAGTGAGCTATGATCGTGCCACTGCACCACAGCCTGGGCTACAGTGAAACCCTGTCTCAAAAAAGAACCCAAAGGACTGGTTGGGGGGACCATGGGGAACTAACTTACTTCTTTACATATTTTCCTAGTTATGGAGAAGTTTTTACAATCAGCACGTGCTATTTATCATTGCCCCCTAAAATTTTTTTGACTCAGCGTCTTGCTCTGTTATATAGACTGGAATGCAATGGCACCATCATGGCTCACTACAGCTTCGACCTCCTGGGTTCAAACAATCCTTCCACCTCAGCTTCTCATGTAGCTGGGGCTAGGGCTACAGGCATGGGGATGATATCTAGCTAATTTTCAAAAATTTCTGTAGACATAGGGTCTTGCTACATTGCCCAGGCTGGTCTCACAACTCCTGGGCCCAAGCATTCTTCCTGCCTCGGCCTCCCAGAGTGCTGGGATTACAGGTATGAGCCACTGCACCTGGCCCCCCAGTTTTTTTGTTTGTTTGTTTGTTTTGAGACAGTCTTGCACTGTTGCCAGGCTGGAGTGCAGTGGTGTGATCTTGACTCACTGCAACCTCCGCCTCCTGGGTTCAAGCGATTCTCCTGCCTCAGCCTCCTGAGTAGCTGGGATTATAGACGCCTGCCACCATGCCCAGCTACATGTTTGTAGAGACAGGGTTTCACCTATGTGATGAATGAAATCTGAGCGGGCTACATTTCTGCTGCAGGAGAGAAAGTTCTATTCCTAAATTTAGCCAATGAAAAGGAAACTCAAGATTAAGCAAAAAAGAAGAGCTAGTCCGTGACCAGTGCATTTCCATCCGTGGACTCAATCCTGAGTCTCCCTGAGCATGAAAGCTGGGCCACCTGTCCCGCTGCCACCTAAGGTCCAGCGACCCATGTTTCAGGAGCCTAAGAGCTATTCCATCCTGGCCAACACAGAATCTTGGTGTGCAGTGAGAAAGAGCCCTCGGGAAACGCGGGCCACTCACCATAGCGAGGCCGTGGGGCTCTGCCGCCCAGGCCAATGCCTGTGATCCTGGCCAGGGCTCGCGGTCCCTCGTGGATGCTGACACCCTTCTTCCGGCACGGCCTCTGTCTCTGAGGAGCAGGGCAGGACTCGTCAGAGGAGCTCAGATCTTCGTACTTTTCTGTGGTCAAACACCAGGATTAAGATAGTCTGTTCAGTGAGGGACTCATTTAGTCATCCTTACGGCAAACTGAAAGAAAGTAACTGTCGCCGGTTTTGTTAAATTAAGGAGAAGGGTATCTGCCAGGGCATCACTTTTGAGAAATGCCCTAACAGGCCGGGGCGCTGCTCCAATGGGCCACAGGGAGCTGCAAAGTTAGTGAGGATGGGAAGTTTCATTTTTCTTGAGACACAGTCTCTGTCCCCCGAGCTGAAGTATAATGGCATGATCCTGGCTCACTCACTGCAACCTCCGCCTCCTGGGTTCAAGCGATTCTCATGTCTCACCCTCCCAAGTAGCTGGGATTACAGGTGCGTGACACCATGCCCAGCTTTTTCTTTAAGCAGAGACAGGCTTTTGCCATGTTGGCCAGGCTGGTCTCCAACTCCTGACCTCAGGTGATCTGCCTGCCTCGGCCTCCCAGAGTGCTGGGATTATAGGCATGAGCCACCACACCTGGCCCAGAGTTTCATTCTTATCTCTGTCGAGGTTTGCAAAATTGTTCATAAGCCTGTATTGTTCATAATCAGAAATTTTGTTCTAATTTGAATAAATAAAATTCATCTCTTCATTAAAATACATGGTAATATCAGTCACAACTTCTTTTTCCTGATCCCTTCCTCTGGAAGCAACTTTTTTTTTTTTTTGAGATGGAGTTTTGCTCTTGTTGCCCAGGCTGGAACTTCTGCCTCCTGGGTTCACGTGATTCTCCTGTCTCAGCCTCCCGAGTAGCTGGGATTACAGCCATGCACCACTGTACCCAGCTAATTTTTGTACTTTAGTAGAGATGGGGTTTTATCATATTAGTCAGGCTGGTCTCAAACTCCTGACCTCAGGTGATCCACCCACCTCAGCCTCCCAAAGTGATTATAGGCGTAAACCACTGTGCCTGGCTGCAAACAACTTATTAAGGAATTCCGTTTTTTTCTTTTTTTATTTTTTTGAGATGAAGTCTCGCTCCATCGCCCAGGCTGGAGTGCAATGGCACGATCACGGCTCACTACAAGCTCCACCTCCCGGGTTCACACCATTCTCCTGCCTCAGGCTCCTGAGTAGCTGCGACTACAGGCGCCCGCCACCATGCCCGGCTAGTTTTGTTTTTGTATTTTTAGTAGAGATGGAGTTTCACCGTGTTGGCCAGGCTGGTCTTCATCTCCTGACCTTGTGATCCACCCGCGTTGGCTTCCCCAAGTGCTGGGATCACAGGCATGAGCTACTGTGCCCGGCCGCAATTCTGTATTTTCTAAAGCATGGCATGTGTTTGCTATGATTATAAAGTGTTTCAAATCAGTGTCCAGTCTGAGCTTTCTGAGCTTTCAGAGCTCAACCCAGAGCTTTTACTATTTTGTAGCTTTTCAGTTTTTCATATTTGACTTGTATAAGGCTCTGATCCGATTCTACTTTTACGAGATACGTGAGTTGGATGCAGGAGGAAATGGTGAGATCTCCTTGTGGAGCTGGTAAGCTGGGACGGAAATGAAGGCAGAGGTCCCCTGCGTTACCATTTTACCACCTGAGCTGTGTTTACTATGAAACAATCCCAACACCAGGGAAGGAGCTGGGCTGAGCCTGACCCTGAGAAAGGAGCTGCTCACTCAGGTGCAAACTGACAGGATAATTCAGGGCAGGCCAGCAAAGAGGGAGAGCTCAGGGCCTGAACGTGGGCCACTCTGTCCTTCCCCATGAAGAGGCTCACGCCCTGGCGACTGAGCTAGCTATGTGGACACACACCCCCTCACACTCAAAGATCTACAGCACCCCAGGGAGACTGTGCTTCCATCCAAGCTAAAGGGGAGGGAGCTGTAAGACAAATGCACAAAGGTGGCAATAAGCAAGGGAACGGCAGCTGCGTGAATCTCAGCACCCAACACACCCTCAGAGCAGCTTAAGAATTACAGGCAGATGGAAACCACAAAAAAGCCAGAGCTGCGATCCTGCTATCAAAGTGGAAATCAGGGCAAAACACATTAAATATGACACAGAAGGACTTTTTTTTGTTTGTTTGTTTGAGACAGAGTTTCCCTCTATACCCAGGCTGGAGTGCAGTGGCACAATCTCGGCTCATTGTAACCGCCTCCCGGGTTCAAATGATTCTCCTGCCTCAGTCTCCCAAGTAGCTGGGATTACAGGTATGTGCCACCATGCCTGGCTAATTTTTGCATTTCGAGTAGAGACAGGGTTTCACCATGTTGGCTGGGCTGGTCTCGAACTCCTGACCTCAGGTGATCTGCCCGTCTTGGCCTCCCAAAGTACTGGGATTACAGGCATGAGCCATGCCCGGCTAGAAGGACATTTCTAATACTGAAAGCCATAATTCACAGTGAATCTATAACAAGTTATGAAAATCTGTCACCAAAAATGCACCAACTTCCTTCATAAATCAGAAACACACTAATAGGTAATTTTGTAGAAAATGAACTAAAAGTACATAATCCTAAATAAGATACTCACAGATATGCTAAATTGTATTTACACGGAAAAATAGAAAACGAGGAAGGAAAAACTTCTTCTCAACGCAAAACACAGAACGTTAAAAAATTGATCAGGGCTGGGGGGCGGGTGGGCTCACGCCGCTGTAATCCAGGCCACTTTGGAATGAGGCCGAGGTGGGGGATCACTTATGAGGGTCCAGGACTTTCCAAGGACCAAGCGGCCAACCATGTGAACGCTTCCTACATAAAAATACAAAGAAAAAAAATCAGCCAGGCCGTGGTGGCAGACGCCGTAATCCAACTACTCAGGAGATTGAGGCAGAGAGTCGCTTGAAAGCCTGGGAGGTGGAGGTGGGTGGGTGGACGAATGCGCCTGGGCACTCAAGCCTGGGTGACAGAGTGAGACTACATCTGAAAAAATATACATCTGTTGATCAGCAGGTGATAAATAAGATGACAAAGAAGTTCTGTCAAGGTAAGAATTATAAACACTACCTGATCAGACACACTAGAATAAAGGTGATCAGAATAACATGAGAAATTAATCACAAGATCAAAACGGCCCTTCCACCAAGAAATTAACAAACAAAAACAACCACAAGACTTCTATTAGACAACTCATGGGTGAAGGAGAAAATATAAATAAAAATTATAGAATTTCTGAAAAATAATAAGGAAAGTATTAAATACAGAACCCCCAGAATACACTTAGAATACACTTAAAGCAGAAATCAGCAAAAATTCACAGCCTCTAACATTTAGCAACAAAAGGGAAACAATGAACATGAAAGAAATTTCCAACTCAAAAAACTAGAACAAAGTAAGCCAAAGAAAAATAAAAGCAGAAATTAAACCATCAGTAGGTCTCAATAATCAATCAAAATCCGATGGGTTTTTCTTGTTTCTCTGCTAAACAAAGTACTAGTATTTAACTTAAAAAGGAAAAAAGGAACAAACACAAATATTCAAAATAAGAAGTGAGGCCGGGCGCAGTGGCTCACGCCTATAATCTCAGCACTGTGGGAGGCTGAGGCGGGAGGATCACTTGGGCCCAGGAGTTTGAGACCAGCCTGGGCAACACAGTGAGACACTGTCTCTATTTTTTTTAACATAAGAAATTTTTTAAAATATAAGAAATGAGATCCAGCAATTCCACTACTGGTTATTTAGGCTAAAGAAAGAAAATCAGTATACCAAAGAGATGTCTACACCCTCTTGTTATTGCAGCACTATTCACAGTAGCCTAGATAGAGAATCAACCGAGTCCATGAGTGGATGAATGAAGAAAGAAGGCTTTATATACACAATGGAATATTATTCAGACATAAAGAATGAAATCTGATCATCTGTGGCAACATGAATCAGCGTGGGAGAGACTACGTTCAGTAAAATAAACCAGAGAGAAAGGAAAGACAAATGCCAGCCAGTGTGGTGACTCACACTTGTAATCCCAACACTCTGGGAGGCCAAGGTGAGAGGATCACTTGAGCCCAGGAGTTCCAAACCAACCTGGTCAGTACAGCAAGACCCCGTCTCTACAAAAAAATAAAAAATTAGTCAGGTGTGGCGGTAGGTGCCTGCAGTCCCAGCTATTCAGGAGGCTGAGATGGGAGGATCACTTGAGCCTAGGAATTGGAGGCTGCAGGAGCCAAGATTATGCCACCACACTCCAGCCTGGGTGACAGAACGAGACCCTGTCTCAAAAACCAAACAAACAAGACTACATGACTACATGATCTCACCCATTTACAGGATTTTTAAAGCTCATGTCAAGCATGTCGAGTAAAAGAGTGGGTATCAGAGGTTGGGGGTGGGGAGGTAGTGGGAGAGACTGGTCAATAGGTATAAAATGACAGATCGAAGAAAGAAGTTCTGGTGTTCACAGCAGAGTGACTATACGGAACAACAGTGTATACCTCAAAACAGCTACTAGAAGACAGAAATGTTCTCACCTCAAAGAAATGATAAATATTTGAGGTGATGGATAAACCAATTACCCTAATTTGATCATTACACAGTGTATACATGTATCAAAACATCACACACTGTACCCCATAAATATGGAGTTA